AAACAGGTATTTCCTAGATAATTTATTTTACAGCAAAATTTTTAACTAATTTCAAGTGCAACATTATCGCTTATTTCGAATTGATTATGATTATATTTGTTTGAAATTTACTCTGTATTAGTCCCAAACCATTTTATTAATTAAAAAAATTATATAGAGGGAAAAAATTTCTTACTAGGAGATAGTTTCTCCAAAAAATACACACACTATTTGTCTATTTACCTTCTTTAAAACTGTCCTCAAAATTGTCATCATAAGAATATATATCTTAATGAACTTCGAATAAAAAAATCCAAGTAACCAAGGTTCAAGACACATCTAGATAATGACTCAAGAAATATTGACCTCTGACCAATAATTTTACCATCGGCGCTATACTCAGTGAAAGCAAGTATCACAAACGTGCATACATACGACACCGTGCCACTTTCATTCACGTAATATGCTGTAACTTAATCACTACATCTTGATAACATTTCACAAGTCATAGGTTACGATTTCTATTGTGAATTGACGTCTAACTTTTAATCTAGCGATATCTATGTTCTAATCATACTTGGAATTGAATATTTTTTATTATCATAATATATTTACGTGATTGCACAGATTAATTTTCCAGTTATGTCAATATAAGTGTAATGCCCACTCTTACTAGTGCAGTAATTACTTATCTACTCTGTGATTTTAAAATAAAAATATTTTTACACTCTCCCTTCGATTTTAAACGCAGGTACTATCCTTAGTACTATCCTTAATCTATGACCTCAATTATAAGTTACCACATTTAAATTTTCCACTGTTGTCTATCCAATTTGTAATATAATTTCTTTCCTTATAAAAATAGCGCACAAAAATTAAAAAAAAAAACTTTTGCTGATTCTGTACATTATTGGTACTTATTGTCCTTTGAGACATGAAGGATATATCTCTGTAATTTTTTTTTATATTATTATTTACGTGAATCATGGTGTTATAAAAGCTAGCTTTAATTAGAACTTTATTTAAATATACTAAAGGTAGAGCAACGAGTCTAATATCCGTTATACTAAGTCTATGCAAATACCAGAATGTAAGGTCATAGAAAAATTACAGAGATAGGTATTATTATAATTGGATGCTATTGCCAACTTCATTTTTCTGTCCCCATGGTTGCCCGTGAGAATGTGTTCTATTTGCACTGCACTTAGCCCTATATAATACGAGATTCCCACGCTCTTGTCGAAACAGAAATTTCCCGCCATTTCTGTTGAAATTACTAGACATAAAATGGCGCTCGTTGCTTCACTCACGCCTCATGAAGATAGTTGAAATAATATAAATAATTCTATTTCTCATGGTTGCATGGTCAAGTGTAAATAATTATGGTGTCTTGTTTAGCGTTGGGCAACACGCTTCGCGAGTTATTACACGGTCTATAAATGATTATAAAAAATTTTCTTCGCCAATTAGCGCGTTGATTCAAGCGCGAAAAATATTACGGTTTATTTCATTTTTAGTAGGTACTGTTGAACTAAAGCTTTTAGAATTATAACTTCGTGGAGATAGGTATATATGAAATAGAGGTCTAATTTTCTTCGTATTAAAATGCAAAGTCAACTTAGACAAATTTAGTTTACAATATTTTTGGTTTCGTTCCACTTAAATGTCTTTGCGTAATCATGCGTGATGCTGGTACAAATATACAGACAGACAATCATTCTAAAACTTATTACTTTGACTTTACTCGTATATTACTTTTATTAAGACCTCTTTTATCATATTTTCTTAAATATCTCCTAGGAATAAATGACTCAATCAAACACTATGTAACTTAGTACACACATACTATATACGTTGGAGAAAGATATAAGCTGCTTTTTATAGCTATATATAAGGATAAAGTGCCGAGTTAAAACTAAGGGCCTACCATGGAATATGTTCCGGACTTTCGGAGCCAAACGAAACAAAAATTTTATGTTAAAATTATATAATACATACCGTTTAAAAATGTTTAAATATATAAATAAATCCTTTGGATTTTTATGGTGGAATTTATGACGAATAAAATATTAAGATCAAAACACGAAATTGAGTCCAAAAATTTGGAATTTCATTTCATGGTAGACCTTTCCTGTTTTTATGTGCGGAGCTAATTTAACATTTTTAATGACACAAAACGTTATAATCTACTAGATTAATCTACATTAGATATAAGTAATTGACACAAAACGTAATAAAAATAGTAATACAATAGTAACAATTACATCGTACACTATTCACTATAATGCCTTGGAACATTTTAGCGCCACCGTAAGTGCGATGTAATAAAAAAGAAATTGGAGCACATTAATCATTGTCTAAACACGTTTGCAGTAATCGAATCGATGTAGTTCGTACGAATTGCGATAACACGATTCGATTACATATCGTTCGCTGTGATCAATGATCATCGATAATTAGTGCTGTTGTGAAATTATTCATGTGTATAAATGTATTGTGCTTCATTGAGCAAATATTAACAAATATCAATCAAAATATCATTTGAACAATTTAAATGCCTCTTTTGATATGTATATATTTTTTTGTCTTTGTTTCTTTTTTTTTTATACAACTTATAATGGCAAACAAGCTGACAGCCCACCTGATGGAAAGTGGTAACCGTCGCCTATAGACATGAGCAGTACCATGGACATAAGAGAGTATACTGTTTCGCCCATGATACCCCCCATGCGTTGCCATTCCTGAGGACTCAGGTGTTATTCCTCTGTACCCTGTAAATTCACTGCCATATCCCACCCTTCAAATCGAAACACAGCCATGCAAACACAACTGCTTCACGGTAGAAACACGAATGGGACAAAGGTACTCAAGCAATCGACTTTTGTACAAAGTCTCCCTCTGGTGGTTTATACTACGATCTGTCTCCTTGCTGGGACAATAAATAGTATGTTTAACGTATACTTTAATGGCATGCTCAGTATGCGACCTGAGTCGCATCCTACTTTATTTTATTGAATCATGCCTTGGGGCATTTTGCGTTTCAGTCTGCGAGTTGTGTTTGCATGGTTGTGTTTCGGATTGAAGGGTGGGATATGGCGTGAATTTACAGGGTACAGAGGAATAACATCTTAGTCCACAGGAATGGCAGCGCATGGGTGGTGTCATGGGCGAAACAGTATACTCTGTTATGTGCATGGTACTGCTCATGTCTATAGGCGACGGTTACTACTTTCCATTAGGTGGACCGTCAGCTTGTTTGCCATTCTAAGTTGCATAAAAACATATATCAAATTGGAATTTTAATTTTAGAAATAGTTTTAAAGTCATGACGCCTCAAAACATACATACAAATATATGCCTTTCTTGGTATGCATTTTTTCCAAACCCAACATGTTTCAAGAAATAATCAAACCGTAGTTTCTACAACGTAAGTCGCCCATATTTACCGAATAGGAGATAGAACGGTGAATCTCGTTTTATGCACCGATGCACCTGTCTCCGAGAGACGATAGATTTCACCGTTTTAATGACTCCTTTTATTACGTCACGTTTCTCTTCAAACGTTCGAGTGAACGTGACAAATAGTTTGCGAGCCGTTCGTTCAATTTGTAACAAAAAGTCCATAGACAATTTTTATCTTTTGTTTGCTTATTTTTTTTTTACGGAGAGGTATTTGTTTTTATTATGAAGTATTCTATATGTTAAGTTAAAGTATAATATTCCAATGTACCAAATTTTAATCATATCTATTCAGCCCTTCAATCGTGGTTGAGTATTAAACATACAAACGTCTAAATATCCGATTATCGTTACAAACTTTCTTTTTTATAATATTAATAGAATTCTTAGACATACCTTATAACCTTGATGATCGTATACCGCCTTAGGTGGGTGCATTTTCCCATTAGGTGGGTTTTGTCAGTAGTTACATCGTTTGGCAGGTGGACTGGCAACCGCAGTTTTTTTTTATACAACTTAGAATGGCAAACAAGCTGACGGCCCACCTGATGGAAAGTGGTAACCGTCGCCTATAGACATGAGCAGTACCATGGACATAACAGAGTATACTGTTTCGCCCATGATACGCCCCATGCGTTGCCATTCCTGAGGACTCAGATGTTATTCCTCTGCACCCAGTAAATTCACGCAATTAGGCTTTAGTGATTTTATAAAAGGGACGCTGCTCCCTTAACAATTAAGTTCCCTTAATCGCCTCTTACGACAGCCAGTGGAAAGGAAGTGCTGGCCCATTCTATGTCGGGACCACACATCTATCCAAGGCAATCTATTTGACAGCCATTAGTCAATTAAATTGAAACAATGAATTGTTTCCAATCCTATACACATACATCATTTGAATGGAAACAATCCACGCATCATATTTTCTTAAATAAACTCTATTGTGTGGGACGCTCGTGTACCGTGAAACAGCCGGAAACGGTAGCAAAACATATACAGACTGTCTTTTGTTTTGAATGGATACATACACGTATAGACACAAGTAGTTTCATCATGGAGATTGTGAAAGAAAAAATGACGGAAGAGATTGAAGATAACTTTGTTTGTCTATTGATGTTATGATATCTATGATAGAGAGTCTATCGATACGTCTTTATATATTTAATCTACTAATACAATTAATATTAATAAATCAATTGCTTCATAATACAAGCTTTCACTATTTTCAATAACGTATGTAGTAGGAATAATGAAATGGATATATTTAATAGTATATGTTACATAAATAAATATATAAAATACATAATATACAATTAGATATATGCGTATAGTAATATTATTCATATGTGTGTGTGTGTGCGTGCGTGCGTGCGTGCGTGCGTGCGTGTGTGTGTGTGTGTGTGTGTGTGTGTGTGTGTGTGTGTGTGTGTGTGTGTATTAGTGGTGAAAGGGCATGTTAAGGAAACACATTGGTTTAATGAGAAGATATAATTTTTAATACTTTATCCAGAAAAAAAGTACCCATAATAGAATATCTTATATATATTTTTTATTTATTTCAGCAACTGTGGCGTCAACAGCGCAACGTCCGTTCCGCGTCGGACGCAGACGACCGGGAACAACAAGCACGAGCACGAGCTCGAGCACGAGCACAAGCGCGACAAGCACAAGCACAGCTGCTGCGAACACGCAGCTCGCAGATGTGGAGCCGGATGACGTAGAAGAAGTCTTACAGGATGTTGATGAAAATGGTACAATCTATTTTTTTCTCTCTGGCAAACAATCTTGTATTTTTAAAAATCCAATATTACTAGACGGAGAGGATTGTTTAATTTTTTTTTAATGGCTGATAATTAATTGGTAACCTCGCCTGCGCTAATGGTATACGCTAGCGGGATATTAGTGACGGATGACAGGTGTGGGAGAAAAAGCAGATCAATCAATCCATGATGATGAATTCACCTGGAATTAAGCACGACAGTTTCCAGGAACACCACGAAGATGTCAACTCTATAGGGTATATTGCTAGCAACGGGACTGTTAGACTTCATTACTAACAATCCCTTACCCCCCAATATGCTCTATCAGGTCGACCTCTACGCGGTTCCACCTGGAAGTCATCGTCTTTAATTCTTGATGAACTCGTCGCACTAAGCCAACTCTCTAATTCTCTACCAGCATAATCTAATAGCGTAAACGGGGTTACCTTACTAGATTCATCCATAAAAAAATCATTATACAATATTACGGAATTCTTCTTCAGACTACATCGAAGACACCCCCACACAACCACGCGTGGCACAAAAAACACCACCCAAAGTGCAGCGTCGACCACTGTTGACCCTCAAAGAGGAAGCAGACCAGAACCCATCGGCGACGAACGAAGAAGAGAACAAACGACAGAGCAAGAAGTTCAACAGTAATGCGAAAAAGAACCGTTTAGGGCAAATACTGAAAGATTTAGAAAACGACGAGGTATATGAAACGACGGAGAGGAGAACCACTGCTAATGTTGATGGTAATTAATATCTTATGAATTGTCTAATTGATTTTGGTGTTCCTAAAGAATCACAACTAGGAGGCTTATTATAAACACTAAAAACTCAACAAGTTGAGGTCACTACAATCTGGCTTGTTTTGTTTATGCTTTGAGTGTCAATTCGCAGAGCAGTTTAATCTGCAAAGCTCTCAGATTTATAGCTGGTTAATTGAATAGAAATATTTTGTTCAATTCCGCTACTCTAGTAGTAGCAGTATGCATTCGACTGCTAATACTGGAAGATGAATGATGAAGAATGATGGTCAGAGATTGATGGCTAATATGGAACGATATAAAATTTCTGCTAATAATAATAGTAATCAATTTTTTAATGTTGTAGTCGTACACATACTAATGGCAACGGAATTAAACAAAATGATTCTAATCAACTTACCAGTGATATGGACTTCCACAAAATAACATCTAGTTCAGTAAAAGTTTTATAACCTTCTGTGAATTGATTGTGGGCTTACCATCATGCGAGACAGGATCAAAGTCAAAACTGTATAATTCAGAATATATGATTCAGAATAGGAAATTGACTCGCAAACCAAAATACTGAAACTAATATTGATTTAAAAAAAGTAAATACGTTTCTTATATTACCGCGTTGTAAATGAGACGTTTGACAACTGATATTTTGGCAGTTTTAACTGCAAATGGTGAAATTTTTAATTCAATCTAATAATCCTAATTGATATTTTTTTATAACAAAACATTACATTGAATCTGTAAGAAATCATATTAATATTTTTAGTGACTTTATCACCCACACCATGCTACAATGTGCCAAGTACAAATTGGCTCGAACCAAAAATCCATCCCGAAATCTCATTCATGTAAATAGGTACTTTGTCACTGCGTTACAAAAGCCAAAGAAATAATTATGCATGGATTTTAATTAGATAGATATGTATTTAAATCTCTGTTAATACTCTAGACTTAAACTCAGTTGAAACTGGAACGAAGCTGCGTCTGAACCACTGAGCTATACTCGTAACTGTGTAAGAGGTGATGCATGTAATAAAAAAATGTGTTTTATGTCATTATAATATTGTGACTTACAATTGGTAAATGCTTTTCATTTTCTATTAGATACATTCATAGATATAGATTTAAATAGATGATACAATTTCATACACTTTCATGTTCATTTTTGGCCCTAGATTACCTAGGTATAAAACGTAATTGATATCGGCTTTTCGTTTTTGGAAAGAGGATTTGTTTTAAACAAAAAGGTTTTGTGACATTAAACTAAGTAGTGAGACAGCATTTGGTAGCGAGATGCTTCATTTTCATGTGAGCTGAAGTATTTGTGTCATCTATCTTTATCTATGTCTGTGACTAATTGTTATTTGTTGGGATTTGTGGTTACCAAGTGGCTGATAATGGGAAAAACACAATACTATTTAGAACATATATTCAATGCAAACGTATTAAGAGTTTGCATTACAAATAACGAATAGTATAATAGATTTCAGTTAGAGGAAGTTTGGGATTAAGATCTATGTTTAAAGTATTCTTAGGGGACGATTCAATTTATTTCAACAGATATCAGCGCAGAAACTGCAGTAGCCATAGCGGCGCACCAACTCTTAGCCGCACCAATACCCGTCATTCCCAACTACGAAGAAGACACAAAGCCACACATAAAGACATCGCCCAAAACGATCACAGAATACGATTTCACGAGCCCCGAATACACAGAGACGTTCACGGATAGCAGGAAAACAGTATACGCAGACGATTACCCCAGTACAACCCAAGTCCTACCGACACGCGACTACGTACAATCATCAACAGGTCCAGAATACAGTGTTTCCCCAGTAGACTTTGAAGCTCCTAAATTATCCCAAACCACAAGCTTTGCACCAAAAACCACATACAGCACGACCGCCTTCACAACAAAACTCCCGCAGCAGTTGATAGAATCAGAACCAACTATAACACATGTAGGCTTGACTGGCACTCGGTATCCGCTAGCAAAAACTAAGTCCACAAGCGAGTATACGACCAAATATGTCGACTCGGCTGAATATTCTGACCCCACTATTACACCCAGCACTAGCTTCGCAATACCCAAGTCTACATTTAGAAGCTCTTACGTCAGAACATCAGGTCTCACGGAGCCAACAAATTCAAATTTGCCTAGTACACCAACAACGCTAAAATCTTTAAACAATGCCCAAAATTCAAGAACTGGACACAAGTCTTCGACTCAGGGTGTAACTGGAGAAACTCCGACAATTAATACCCCTACCGGAAGGTTTCTGGGGTCTAGTCCAAAGTTAATACCCGTACCCGTCGAGGATTATGCCTTCTCCACAGACGGGTATACAGGTTTGAGTCAAGATCCGGCGTATTTCACTAGAGAGTACTTGCTGGAATCGCCCGTCACGAAGGCGTATGACGGTGAGTCAGTGTACATTGGAACATGTTAACTTCTAACTGTCACCAACATTCTGTACCCTTCACTCAGTAGGCAGGATGTCAAATACTTCTAGGCATATTTACTAACTTGTATTCTAACAAATAAAAACATAGGAACTCCAGGTTTGGGCTTCGACTCTAACTCACCTCTCACATTTCAGCACTTTTAACTTGATAGCTTTAACGTTAACATTGATAAAATTATACCACCAAAATTATAAATTCTTTTACAGATGAATATCAATATCTATCGCCAGTGACAACTCAACAATCGACCACGAGAAAGCTTCCAAGAAAGAAGATATATCGAAAGATCTCGACCACACAGCGTCCGACCACAGAAGCCTTTGTGCCTGTAGTAACGACGCCCAAACCAAGAAGAATACCGTCTACTGTTAAGCCGTTCAGCAAGACACAGAAAACAGTCCCGAACAGGACATACAGACCAATACTGAACTACGACTACTATGATGATAGCGAAGAGAAAGTGGCCGAGAAGTACGTGGAAGGAACCAAGGTTATTCTGCACGCAAAAGGTAAGTGTCAAATAACGAAATAAGCTTAGCTAAACAATAATAATGTCAATCTGTCTGTTTGTAACGTTATGATGAGAAAATCACTGCAGAACTAGTGAGAAAATCTGAATCATGAACGTCAACCCTTGAAATGACAAATTCATATTTCGATGATGATTTACAATAGAAGAGATATTTATTTTAAAAGATGAAAATGAATTATCAATTCCACTTGCGCTATGGGTATATTAATCCTATTAATATTATATAAGTACACGGAAGTTTGTCATGATGGATTTATATTTGTTCACGCAAAACTGATTTGAATGAAATTTGTTACAAAGATAGGTTTTATCCTAAGTCAGCACATAGGACTTTATATACTCATTTGCGCGAGTAAAGCCGCGAGATACGGTTAATAAGTAATAATGGAATGACAACACCATCAGCGGTGTAGTCGCCATGCTGGCGAAGCAGCGCTATTGGTTTACAAATTACAATGGCGAGTAAAGCCCATCTTACATGAATCATAAGTTTTATTAGGCCTCTCGCGCTATTTCTCTGGCAGTATTATTAACGGACATTTACATTAGCAGGTTATACATCCATGATAATTCATGAACAGGGATTTCTACGTCCTTGGTGAATACGTAACGTCATGCTGGACCAATCTGAGCTTGGTTCATCATCAGTTATCATGCCTTACTAAATGATTTTAATTAAACATAAATATCCACTGTAGCAATTACTTTATAAGGATTACATTATAAGGAAACAACATTGAAAGAAAAGAAACCTACCGTCGCCATTGCATGCTTGTGACAGATAATTTTAGAGGGAACTTTTTTTTTAAACCACAGACTAACAATTTTTATTGCTATCTATTACACTAAAAGCCTATCAGCATATACTAATAACGCAATCGGGATTACTTTATCTTTATCTTCTTACCCTTATCCCAATCATTTGGGGTCGGCGTAATATGATTTTGTCCATATTACAAAAAGACTTGGTTTTTAGTTTTACGACCGGCCACCTGCCTGACGTCAACCCTCTTTGGGAATCGGGATTACTTTATCATTAAAAAAATTGTGTTTCACATTGTGTAAACTACGGAACCGATTTTAATAAAATTTCTGTGGACCAGCCAATCTGTAAATACATCTTATTTTCGCATATGGGGTCAGCTAGGCCCTTGCACGTCGACCCATCGGGATCATTTGTGCTTCCCCCTGCCTTATACCATCATTTTATAAATCCTATGTGTTACCTTAACGATATCCCGCGGTTTAAGATATCTGTAGTCCCCTGGCTCTGGCCTTTCCCAGTAGACTCTGTAAATACTTACTTTCAGATAAAAATAATTTTAAATATTGGTTTAAAAATGACACAGCATAACTTCGTACTCCGTAACATAACATAAAAAAAATCAAATTAAGAAACATCTCCCTTTTTGAAGTAGATTCAAATATACGCTAAAATATAAACAAAAAAAAAAGCAGGAAATCATCTTTCCACGTGGACAAAGCTGCAGAAAAAACTATAGTACAATAATTCTATTTTCAGGCACAATAGAATGCCTGGACATCGGCAACTTCCCGCACCCTACTTCCTGCAAGAAGTTCATATCGTGCGCGCGCATGGAGAGCGGCTCCCTACTCGGCTGGGAGTACGTCTGCCCAAAGGGTCTCAGCTTCGATCCCGTCGGAGGCATATGCAACTGGTCTGCGGGGCTCGGCTGCGTTGAGAAGGACACTTGATAGTGTCAGAGATACTTGCATAAAAAAAATTAAATATATATATATACAGAATGTAACGAAATGTAAGCATAAACATTTGGTAGAACTAGCTTAGTTCTACCAAATTTTTTTTATAGAATAGTGATACTGGAATAGTGATGAACAAGCATACGGCCCGTCTGATATTAAATTACCTTAGTCAATGGACACTTGTATTACTGGTTACCAATTTCAATATAAAAGTTTCTTATTGGGAAAAGTTGCTTATACTAAGCTGAGTAGAATAAATAAAATATAAAAAATGTTGCTTCTAGAGAGCGTTCACTGTATTAACGGTAATTTTTCTTCGTTATTTATTTAACTTTAATAGAAATAATATATATCAGTGAAGTTTCCACAATAAACTAATACATCGTAAAGAGAGAAGATGATTAATAAAAAAAATACCTACCTAACTTCCTTTTTGATAATTCCAACCTGTTATTCCATTTTTGTCAATTTCCTAAACTTTTGATGGACGTAAATTTTACTCAAAAAGTCACAGTCGATTAGACTCTATTGAACTTAATTTAGAGTTAAAAATTGATATACAAAATACATAAAGTACAAGAAACTGAAATCCTAAGAACATGGGGCGACGTATGAATTAGATTTCGCATTGTAATACACTTCGTTACGTACTGTATGTATATGTATATTTTCGGTCACACCCTGTATATACAACGAATATTTGAAATGAACATGTAGAGAAAATTAAGATATTACCAATCAGAAAATATCAGCGGTTTATTGGAATTTAAGTCGTTAAATTGTAACACAATTCGTTTTCACTTTGGAACTTTGTCGCGTTAAATACAAAATAATAAACGTGATAAATTTCTAAAGGTAGAAAATGAAATACATACATGGCTGTTGCTTAGGGGGGGGGCATTGTGGGGCAATGGCCTACTTTAAAAGGTTCAATGACCTACCTTAAAATATACCCAGAGAAAATTAGATTCGCTATTTCAAAGTTAATTATGCCTTCTACTCTACTAAAAAAGTTTTTTGCCCTACCTTAAACTTTTATTTAGCTACGGCCCTGTATGCATGGGTACATATTTGTATACACAGCATCTTTGATGTACCATTCAAAATAATTGACATTATATACATAAATATATTAAAAATTGTTGCTGAATGTAAATACCGAAATCAAAATTTTATACTTTTATCATGGATAAGACATCACTGCCTAAGTCTATAATATTAAATAATAATTTGTAATAATTTGTAAATTTGATAAAATCGTCAAGTCTTAAAAGGATATAAGAGGTATAAATCTAAGAGAGAATCATCGTCAGAGATATGCCGAAATCAACTACTTTGATAACATGAAAGGGAAATGAAAAATCGTAACTAAACGACGTAAGTTGCAGAAAAGCAACCTTAGGTTATGGAAAAATGAAAATCTTTTTCTTAACAGTACAATAACAAAATCGTATCGATAGATACATTTTCGATACCGCACGCATATTGCCGTCTCGTTCTATCTAACGCGTATAGTAACGGTACTACTTGTTGAGGAGAGTGGGAAGAGCAATACACAGAAAATAGTTTTACTTACTATTTGAATCACATAGTACACAATTTCTATATTTTGTAAACATCTTACGTTATTTTTATCTGTATTATTGACTGAAAAAAAAAATATTTAACTTATGTAAAATATTAATTTTACGCTTATTGAACACGTCTTCGAGCCGATCATATTTCAATAAGCGAACGAAATTGTTACGTGTAAATGAAATTAATCTAAGTCAATGTATTTCTTATAAAATAGGCTTTAAGTAAAACAATCACTGCCAATTTTATACTCATTTGGTATTAGGATTTTTTTGTGAGAGACGTCACAAACTTTTATAATGCAATATATACTTATTTTAATGTCCAAATTTATACTTTATACCAAATCTGTATGCTTATATTTACAAGCACTTTATCTATTTATTTTTACGTGATCGAATAGCAAACGAATTGAAATTATTATTTCAAAATGTGCCTTAATTATTATACAATTTATTATTATAGTTTTGTAAATTTATTTTTAAGGATAATAAAAATAAAATAAATACTTGTGCATTTTTTATTCCAATTCCAGAGATAAATTGAAACAGGTGTCCAGTCCTTTCACTTCAATCAACTATTTTATTCAAATTTGAATAAAATACCCAACCAACCAATATTTTTTTTTTAATAATAAAATACTGTAACGAACAAATATATATACAATAAATTAGAACAGTTAAGTTCCCTTCTAATCAAATTAACTAAACCGTTCAATTGAAACAGATCAACTAATTCGTTCAAATTTAAATTGCCCAACTAGATATATTAATATGCTAAATTCACCATCGTTGTAACAACCCAGTAAAGTTCTACTGTTGGACATATGTATAACAGGAAATCAGGCTATTAAATACTAACAGGGCTTTATTTGTTTTCGCCATGTGTCCCCCGGCATAGAAGGGCTACCCCTTCCTTTTCCGAGGGTGTCGTAAAAGGAGACTAAGGAAGGGCTAGGAATGGGCAGCAATGTCCTCTTAAAACATTTCTAAAAGCCTAGCTGAAGTTGCCAACCAACCTGCCAAGCGTGGCAACTACTGACAAAACTCCCCTTATGGGGCAGGCTTATGTCCACCAGTGGACAGTTAACAGATTTTGATTTTTTCTCATCTTGCACTGTCATAGTTTCATTTTGGGTAGGTAAATAAAAATAGTTTATTTTATAACCAAAATATATTTTCAGAGCGTCCTCTTGCTAATATTAACATATCCTATACCGACGCAGGTCATCTTCACCTTGTGCGCTGTGCTGACCTGCTCATCATCTGATGAATCTTCATCATCATCTGTCCTTTGAACCTCCAGCTTGAACATCACCCCGAAGAACTCTTTCAGATGCTGGAGAAAGCTTATCGTGTAATCTGATAGCGGTCCCACCTGAAATAAATTATTACTAAATAAATAAATATGCTTACGACGCTAGTTCCTAATGGGGTAGTCAGTCATTTGTCGCCTGTTGCCATTAATGCTCTATATCAGGAATTCAGCAGCAAGCAGCTGTTTGCATGGTTGTGTTTCGGTTTGAAGGGTGGGATATGGCGTGAATTTACTGGGTACAGAGGAATAACACCTGAGTCCTCAGGAATGACAACGCATGGAAGGTATCATGGGCGAAACAGTATACTCTGTTATGTACATGATACTGCTCATGTCTATAGGCGACGGTTACCACTTTCCATCAGGTGGGCCGACAGCTTGTTTGCCATTCTAAGTTGTATAAAAAAAAATTCTGTGTGGTTGATATCGACCCTTGGGGTCAAAATAGGTTTCCTAAGAGTCGCATACACAGAAACTGATTTTGAGGATTGGCGAGGTCTAAAAATCGACCCCTAATAATTAACACAAGTTCTTATTTGGTATTAATAATTACACTTGATATTTACTGAATTTTCGTGTCTTGTGTCTTTATGTTATTAAACATTTGCAAAGCTTTTAAATTAGTAAGTATTTTGTATCAATAGGAACAAAAAAACTAGAGTTAAGATTTTTAAAATAATTTGGCTACGAGAGACTGGTTTTTTTTTTTGATGGGTGAAAATCCCCGCCTCCGCTAAGGGAATACGCTGGCGGAGCACCAGTGAAGGCTGACAGGTGAGAATGAAAACAGGTCAGTTAGCCCATCATGATGAATTCATCAGGAATTAACCATGATAGTTTCCAGGGAGAACCGCGAGGTCAACCTGGTTGGGTATATTGCTAGCAATGGGATTCTCAGTCTCCATTACTAACAATCCCTTTCCCCCCTCGAGAGTCTGGTTAGGCTTCTATTGCCGTTCATATCAATTTTCCTTAAACATCTCTTATGTGCAAATATCTAGTTACATATTGTATGATTTTTTATTAAATTCGAAACTATTTCTAGGATAATTACAACAAAACTAGGTTACTATTCCCTTAATTTTACTAAACCAAACTATATAAGGAAGTAATCACTCACAACGCACTCGCTGACGTCCTTCTGTCCAAGCGCCATCCACAGCGCGAGCAGCCACTGCAGCGAGGAGTCAATGGCTCCGCCGCGCCGTATCTCGTCCAGCAGCTGCAGCGCACACTCCCGGCCCAGGTCCTCGGGGGACGTTATCGCGCCGCTGCCGCTCTCCGCGGATTTCTATCAACAATGTTTTAATACATTACACGCTCAAAAAAGTATTGAAAAAAAATCCGAACATAGTGACAGACAGACTCAGGCATATTTAGAGGGAGGCCCCAGATTTGTTTAATGTCCATCCCAAAATGCCAAAGATAGATATGAGAGTAGACATATAGCTTTTTAGAATGTCATCTTCTAGAAAGGATTTAGCACCTTAGCTAAACTCTCTTCAGAAAATAACTTTAAATACGGCAATAACAACACTAGCATTTAACGTGACTGTAAAAAAAAATTATAGACATTTCATGAAGTACGATTTGTCATTAATTATTATAATACATAAAAGAGGTAACATATTTTTCCAGTTTTTTTTTTTATATACAACTTAGAATGGCAAACAAGCTGACGGCCCACCTGATCGAAAGTGGTAATCGTCGCCTATAGACATTAACAGTACCATGGAAATAACAGTACACACACATACTGTTTCGCCCATCATACCTCCCGTGCGTTGCCATTCCTGAGGACTCAGGTGTTATTCCTCTGTACCCAATAAATTCACGCCATATCCCACCCTTTAAACCGAAACACAGCCATGCAAACACAACTGCTTCACGATAGAAACACGAATGGGACAGAGGTACCCAAGCAATCGACTTTTGTACAAAGTCGCCCTCTGGCAAAAGAGTGTGCCACAGTAATACAAAATGGGTCACAACTCAGTTTATTACTTTGATCTCAAAAGAGCAAAACACTGATATTCTACCAATAGAAGGCCTAAGGCATAAATAAATGTCTAAAAGTAATGTAGATTACTTAATGGTCAAGAGATGGGCAGCAGCATCATTAAAACATCACCTAAGTCTAACTGCGGTTGTAAATCCGCCTGCCGAGCATGGCGACTACTGGTAAAGCACCCCTTATGGGTGAAGCATATGTTCAATAGTGGACAGTTAACGGCTAATGATGAGATAGAAATAACATCAAGAGTTAACAACTAAGTTGTCATTCATAATACAATAACAATACTTACAGCTTCAGCGCAATAAAATGTCTTCTCATTAGTTTCTGCCACAAGACTAATACCAAAGCCGGGACTCTTCCCAGCGTTGGAGCCCCGACACTGGTCCGTGTTGATGTACACGTCTGGTAGAAACTTCAACATAACCTGAATAATAACATATGAACAAGTAAAAAATTAAATAGTCCAGAAAACTATTATGAAATACATGCATCTGATGAGATATACAGCTATTTTCTTCCTATACAAATATAAAATAAGCATACGGCCCGTCTGATAGTAAACGGGGTTGCCGTAACCTATGGACGACTGTAACACCAGGGATGTCACACGCGCGTTGCTGATTCTTATATTTATCAATGCAATCCCCAATAATCAAATAACAAAATTTATTTATTTATTTAACTTTTTATTGCACCATAAATAAAAATATACAATGACAAGTGAATAATTCAAGTGAAATATAGTAACATAAATACAGATTGAAATATACACATAAAGGTACAAAAGGCGGTCTTATCGCTAGGGCAATCTCTTACAATCTCAATATAATAACTCATAATAAGTTTTGCTTCATCAATAATTTACTTTTATATATACTTTGTATTTACTTTCATAAAAAATACTAAAAGTAATAACTAATAATAAATAATTGTCACAATTCTGTACATAGAACAAGTAAATAAATATATGTACTGACCCCTTTAGCTGACTCCACAACTCTATTAGCCATAGTCGGTGATACGCGCAATGCATACACTACTCCACGTATCCTCTTCACAAGGCCCCATTTAGTCCACTGCAGCGGCCGGAGATGCCTTCGAACTGGACACTTGAAGACAATTTCACCACCGCCCAGAGGTGGGGCACCTGTAAAGATAAAATTTTATTTGAGACTAGTTTTTGTCAGTTACTTCATAGGTATAGATGTCAGAAAGAGGAAGATTAATTAAATAGAATATTTTTACATGATGATAATATGAATCATAAACCAGATTTTAAGTTGGACCTACAACTATGTAAACCACATACAATTTGGTATGGTAATTTTTGTGTGATGCCATACCCAAGATAAACATTAAAAATTTTAATAAAAAAATTGTTGGCATCTATTAGTCTTATGAAGACTCCATTATATTAATTTTTCTTAAATATCTCCCATGTACAGAGATCAAAGAGTTAAAAATTTATTAAATTAGTAAAATACAGTGAATATGGCCAGATAAAAAAAAACAATCTGTGGCTTCAATTCTAAATTAATATCGATTAATAATCTCACTATACTTATTTTACATTAGTTACAATAATTTAAAAAAAATATTTAGAAATCAAGATTATGTAAGATCTAAAAATTTGCTTAAACTGAACTTTAAAGATTTAGAATTTCAAAGAAACAGAATAGTAGCAGTTTCAATCATCACAAAACTATATATTTGATCTACACCAAAGTAAATCCTATAAATTGTAAAAAGAATTATTAACCCTTTGCACTCAAATGGCGCCGATACGGCGTCCAGACAGATTCGAAGTGGCAACTCGAGCTGTTTTAAAACTTTAAATCGAACTACGCTGCTATGACGCTATGGTCTTTTGTAACCAGATCTCCTTATTTACAATATGCGATAAGAAAGTTATCTCGGAAGGCCGAAATCGTCTCGAGTTGCTGGTTCGCGCAAGGGAAAAAGGCCTTGAGTGCAAAGGGTTAAAATTCATTCAGAATATACACAACAAAATCAAAAAATTCATAAATCAGTATTCCCCTAAATTGTTTTATCTTACCTCTCCTGACAACCTTCAGCTCCAACCCATCATCTACTAGTATAAATTTCAACAGTATCGGCAATGCAGCAGCCTTCACTTTGTCCACAGACACATCATGATCACTGTGGGTGACTCCTTGCAGCACCGCATTCAGTGGCTCCTTACAAAATGGACCCAACGCGAGCAGAATTTCTAGATAATAGCCTGGAACAATAAACATTTTAATATAACACTTAAAGTACAAAATTATTACCAAAACAACTAAAAATGTGATAACTATCATACTAAGCAAAAGGAAATATCAAAAATTGAGTTAATAGCTATACCAGAGGGAAACTTTATACAAAAGTTGTTTGCTTGGGTTCCTTTATCCCATTTGTATTTCTACTGTGAAGCAGCTGTGTTTTGGTTTGAAGGATAGGATTTGGCAGTAAATTTACAGGGTACAGAGAAATAATGCCTTAATCCTTAAGAGTGGCAATGCATAGGGGATATCATGGATGAAACAGTAAACTCTGTTATATCCATGGTAGCAATAGTAACCATTGTCTATAGACATGGACAGTCATGTCTATAGGTAATGGTTACCACTTTCTATCAGGTGGGCCATCAACTTGTTTGGCTTTCTAAGTTTCAAGTGGTATTGTGAAATACCACAGCATATTCTAAATGAGAGATTCAGTATTGGTCCACGCTATTGGTATACACCAGTGGGGCACCAGAGATAAATGAAGATGATAAATGAGGTTGAAGCAGGTCGGTTAGCCCATCGTGGCAAATTTAACAAGAATTGTTCATAATGGTTTCCAGGGGGAACCACATGGAGGTTGACCTGATATATATATTAATATAATATAATATTGCTAGCAATGTCGAACTCCACTGCTAACAATCCCTTTCCCCCCCAAACTTCTATATGGTGTTAACAAACTAAACTTTAAACCATCCATTTTTTATGCAAGTAAATGACCCACCTGATGAAAAGTAGCAACCATCGCCTATAGATATAAACAGCACTGCACATGACATATAGAAGGAATATGGTACATAAGCTCTATAATTTATGTATAAATATATGATAGATATACTTTCACACTTATTTGTTTTTTTTTACAACTTAGAATGCTGATGAAAACAAGAAAACAAGCTGATGGCCCACCTGATGGAAAGTGGTAACCATCGTCTGTAGACATGAGCAGTACCATGGACATAACAGAATGTACTGTTTCGCCCATGATACCCCCCATGCGTTGCCATTCCTGAGGACTCAGGTGTTATTCCTCTGTACCCAGTAAATTCACGCCATATCCTACCCTTCAAACCGAAACACAGCCATGCAAACACAACTGCTTCATGACTGAAACGCGAATGGGAATAAAAAAAATCATTATTAGTTATATAGGCATTCATACTAACCTACACCTCTTTGTGTACAACAACTATGAGTAACTTGTCCGCCGATCAGTATACCCGGCTGGAAGTATACTGATGTGCCCGTTTCACTCAGTTCCACCCGCGTGCCATTCGTTACTTTATCAAGCAGCCGTATCAAGTTGACCTCGTATTCTCTAAGTCCCGGATCATCGTGACCGCTTCGAATTTCTTCTATTTTAACAGCTCGTCCACTTAATGTGGAAAGAAGCAATCTCTGACGGAAGAAATTACTGCCCTTATAAACAAGCACGTCGTTTTCTAATACTGCCGGCATTTTCCAATGAATGTTACATTTATATGTTTTACTCTTTTCAGATATCTATTTAATGACTCTCAAAATATTCTTAATTATAATTAAAATAAAATTTATAAACAAACACACGTGCTAAAAATTGGAAACGATGTAGGTTTGGCAAACTGAACTGTCAGTGTCACTGGCATGTCAGATATTTCTGATGTCAAATCTAGTGTTACCAATATTTGAATCTTTTCCACCTCATTAACAAAGGAAATTATTTACTCTTTTTTTATCTTTGTCTATTTATTTAAATTTATTATATGTTAATGATTGTTTAATTTCTGAGTATAATATAGTAACTATACTATGCATAATTTTAATTTAAAATAATAACTACATGCATATTAAAAATAGTTAACTACCTTCCAGTCTTATTTTTTCCTGTTTGTTTCTATAAAATAGATTAATTATATTAATTATATCTGAAAGGAGAATTGTAACAAAATACGTATTAAAATAAATAGCCTTGTTTAAGGGTGGATTGGATAACATAACACAAAACGAAATCAGCTATAACATCTTACTTTTCTAGTTACTGGAAAGTACTGCTAAAAAAAACTAACACTTTCTTTGCTATAACGTTCTACTGGAACACTTTTTTTCCTCTTAAAGGTAAAAATTATAAAATTGGCGACACTGCAATTATCAGTGTCAATTGTCTACAATAATTCATTTTGATATTTACCTATTTATCTCTATTCTCAATAACCTCAATATTTTATTTCTTTTATAATTTTTTTTCAACTGTTAAAACTGTTATTCGATGTGAAAACAATGAAAGTTGAGGTCGACGATGTGGTCTTACCTGGCGATTTTTCAGAAGAAATCGATACAGCCGGTGAAAAAGGTAAGGTGATTCTCGGACCCGGTTTACGAAAAGAAATCGACAAGGTATACATCACGAAGGCCGGAGTGCTAAGAAAACGTGCGCCCAACACATTTTGGGTGGACAGTTATCAAAAACGGTATGTGCCCTCGAGAGGCGAGAATGTAATAGGATTTGTTGTTCAGAAATCGGGCGACATATTCCGAGTGGATGTCGGAAGTAGCTGCCCGGCTACTCTCTCTTACCTTTCCTTCGAGAACGCCACAAAGAAGAACAGACCTGAAGTTCAAGTAGGAGATGTGTTATATGCCAAAATGCTTGTAGCCAGCAAAGATATGGAACCAGAAATTGTGTGTGTGGACTCACATGGCAAGAAAGGTCGCTTAGGTGTTCTGAATGAAGGCTTCGTTTTCAAATGCTCACTTAATCTAGTTAGAAAGATATTAAATCCTAGTTGTCCGTTACTGGAATCCATAAAAAATGAGTGGCCCTTTGAACTTGCTGCGGGTATGAATGGCAGAATATGGATCAAAGCCAACACTATGAGGGAGACCATAGCAGTGGGAAATGCTATTTTGGCTTCAGAGTACTTAAGTGATGATGAAATTAAAAATATGTGTACAAATATAGCTTCTATTTTAGCTGGACATGTATCATAGTTTGTTTTTATAAATTTATACTTAAGGAAATAAAAATATGAAACCTAATTGGTAATTGTATTTTTTGCCTATCTCCTATGTTTGTAGCATTGTATATTTTACTAATGAAGACTGAGCTACTATTTTGTATTATTTTTGTTGTAGTCACTATCTAAGCTATTTGTGATAGTCAAGTGAATTAATAAGATATTGTGAAAATGTTTCTATTAGTATAATAACAGATAATACTATACTAGTAGTATAATGCAACATTGTTATTATACTTAAATTTTATTTATTCTATATGAATATTTATCTATCCTAAACTTGATCTCTATCTATACAGCTTTTTCTCTTTAAACTTTTTTTTTTTAAAACTATAATGAATTTTACATAGGTCTTTACACTCATTATAGTATCAACTTCCATTTCCTTCTTTTTTCTTATTTCGTCCAAACTCTAGTTACAGAGGACTATAAGTATTGGGCTAATTCTGTAATGCCATTTCTTTAAATTTATCTCAACCAAATTTTTTTATTTGGTAATTTTGCAAAATTACTGTTTGGACCATCTGTTGAACTAATATGATAAAATTTTTGATTTAAATATATTACAAAATTAAGTTTATAATAAAACTCACTGTGATATCTAATTAAAATTTTTAAATTTGGAAATGGGTTTCAAGAAATGGCACCTCAGGATCGACCTCACTATCCTTAATCTATGACTTACGGAAATATGGGTAGTACAAATAAAGAGACAAACATATAACAGTGATGGGATTTATTTTGGCAAATGCAACTAACCTAATCATTTCGAAATCTCAATACATATGTAAAACTACAACTGACTGCATGCTGCATTCCAATTTTACTCTCTGTACCTATTGATAATTGAATAAATATTTCATATAATACAATCATTCCAAGCTGTGCCACATCCACACTATATACATATTATTGTGGCGGTCAGCGACGTCAGCGAGTTTTTTTTTTCTTTTATTATTTACATCAACTATCAATTTAATAGGAGTTGAGTGACCAGAATAATTTTTCGTCATTATATTTAATTATATTTAATAATAATTTAGTAAGTAAATTATAATTTTAGTATATTGTAAGTCTGTTAAATCCGATAATCACATTACAAAATTAATGCTTTTATATCTTTAGTTAACAATGCATAACTGTGTGCCAAGCGTGAATTTAGAAATGAGAAAATGCATTTTTTTTTCTTATTTTAATAGGTACATAAATAAAAGGTGATTTTAGGGCTTCTTAAGGCAGTCTATAATATATCCTGTGTACTGCGATAGACTATAAATGATGACTGTAAAAAGTCCATTCTGAAAAATAAACATACTCTGCCTACAACTTAAGGGATCTGCCATAAAGATATATAGATGTATGCAAGTATATACTAGTGTATTTTTTTTTTTTATTAAAATAACTTTATTGACGAAAATAAGATACAAAAGGCGGACTTAATATTAGTAGCATTCTCTACTAGTGAACCTTTGAAGTGAACAGAAAATTACGAAAGTGTGTGTGTGTGTGTGTGTGTGGGTTACTTCATTATTGGAATAAGTAAAGAAAATAACAATAATGTATACCTAGACAAATAATACGTACATAAATATATAAAAAACAAATAAAAGATGATGATTAGCTAGTATTGTTGTAATGACTTTATAAGGTGATCATGGACTCTTCTTTTAAACTTGAATCTATTTGGAAGTTATTGGATATCTTCAGGCAGTGAAGCTTGGGTGGTGCAGAAGTATGACATAAAGCCAGATTTGTGGTGTGATGTGAGTGAAGCCTATACAATGGGCTTCCCATGAAATTCTATGCAAATTTTCGAATTTTTTGTACTATATATTGATATGCAAATGAGCCAATTTATACGTTAAACAGAGATGTTTATTGATTTACTATATGTTACAAAGATTACTTCTTTAAAGTATGGTACTCCATACAATGCATATTTCTCATTTCTAAGACCACGCTCCCGACTACCGCGTCTGCATATCAAAATCAGCCTAGTTCTAACATGAAGCCTCTTTACAAACATTATAGAAAGTGGTAACTTTAAAGGAGTATATAAACAAATGTACTTAGTTTGAAATATTAACGATCAAAGTTTAAAAACTTCAACAACCTACCAAAAGGAATGTATTTATTTATTTACAAATTGAATAAAACAATGCTTGAATTGAGCCATGTTCCCTGGCGTACCTTACACTTGGTCTTTGGATAGCTAATTACAATTTTATAAATATTAGTGAAATAATTTTAAAATTATAGATTTTGGAACTGGAAAATGACTGAAGTAGTTATTTAAAGTGTCAACCCTTAACCTATTATTAAGACTGAACTTTTCAGAAATCGGACGCACTGACACTTTGTGCGTCAAACTTTAGTAACAATAAAATTCATTATAAAACAAAAATAGTTTAAACAAACATTCATAAGGGTGAGTACAGATCATGAACATACTCATGTAACATTAACAGCAAGTTCTCACTGAAATGTTTTATAATTCGAAGCCAAATTAGAACAGCTTGGCATGAACCGGCTTCCATAGGGACTCTGGACACTAACCTACATTACAATGAACTATGTCACATTGCATATCACAATCATATTTCTAATTTACTTCATAAATTGTTTAAAAAGAGAAGTAACGAGTTACTTGAAGATTGTTTGCTTATATCAATTTATATATATGAAGTTTATTTGTTATTAATTTTTGCATATATTCATTAAGGACATGCTGATATGAAGCTCATCTAAACTTTTAACATTGAATTAGAACTGGAAGAAAATGAAAAATACTATACAAAATTGTTTGTGAATGTCTAAAATCAATGAACTTGTAAAATGCTTATAGCATGTTTACCTTAATTATGGAAGCAGGGAAGGAATAAGAGATTGTGTCGCTCGATATAAACCCACCTATATATTATATTACAAACTAATGTTCTGGTACTCACCCTTACACAATGTTTTCAGCATGCATATATATAATATATATATATATATATATATATATATATATATATATATTATTAGAAAATTATGACTTTCTGGTAAAAGTAACAACAATCATTTCCAAAAGAATATTTTTTTTAATTAGAATAGTATGGAATAATACATGTCTCAAACATCGTGTATAGCGACATGTATTTTGGTAGAAACGGAAGGTCAAATTTTATTACCATTTTTCTCTATTACAATGACATTGTGATATAAGTTTGTTATTAGAATCTATAGCTGTTTGACTGACTAATGATAAAATAAGCTAAATGGTCCTAATTGTATACCTATTTTGTGAGATATTAGTACCAAAGTGATAATTTTGTATTAACAAAACAAACAGAATTTCAGACATTGGGATTGAACCAGTTAACCCCAGCTTCCTAAAGTCTACAAAAATGACTCAACACTGTTTGTTTTATTGAACTCTCCCTGTGGACACTGGTTTACAATGCGATTAAATATGAATAAGGCTGCTATATTGCGACTTATGAACTGTCAATAAGAGTAATATAAAAATCAGAACATAATTTAAAAAAAAAATATATATGCTTTAGATTTAAACGATACATTTTTAATTTTTAATATAATTATACAACATGGAATGGTAAATAAGCTAACTACCTATGGATAATCGTCACCTATAAACATGGACTAACATATCACAAAATACACTGTGTTCTCCAAAGGTCCATGAAATCCATGCTTTTCAGGTGACAGTTGACAGGTCGAGGTCATTGACACTCCTATTCATAGTTTAACCACATTGCATTATCACTAATATCCTTATCGCCTAGTGTACTTCAGTCAAAGTGCAGTGCGCCCCATCTAGTCACAATCACAGCAATTTTCCGTAACACTGTACATTATTTACATTATCAACAAAGCAGTCAACTTTTCACATTTTAAAAATACGAAAATATAATTTAATCTATCGATTAATCGGAGATCAGGGCTTACTTACAATAGTCATTATATTAACATAATTTACAAGAGCTTCACGTATTTATAATGTCACACTAAGTAGCGAATACCCGTTCGTTATATCAATTTAAATATAACAGTAAAGTTTATAAATTAATTATTGCTCAAACTGGGAAGACAAGATCGTCAATTTTTATAAAAACTTAAAAAAAAAATTAATTTTGGAATCGAATATTTGAACAAAAATTAACATATATATTTACAAGAAAAACTGTCAATATTGCCCTCCCAATTTAACTGGTATTTTGACAGCTTCCCGCTATACTACGTATAGTGGAAATTCAAAACATACAAATTCGTTATCGTACATACTCGTACACAATGACTGTCAAACACAGCAACACCTAAATTAGCAACTTCAACCTATTGGATGTATTGGCAAGTAATATTTTTATGAATTATTTTTTGAGCATCACTTTTGTCTTTCTGCAACTATATAGACAAGTTCGTGTTCTAAATAATTGAAATAATACGAAGACAGTCTATTAGATTCCCTCATATTCGCCATTGAGAAATATTACCCCTCATGTGTAACATCAAAATTCGGTTCATAACCAATCGCTCCATATTACTCCCGCAATGCTTCCATAGAAATGTGATTCTTCTGAGTTGTTTCAACTCTAGAAAATTACATTCTTGGTCGTTGTTCAACTCTGAACTTTGGCTGTTTGCGAGTGATTCCTTTACTTTGTCCAATTATAATTGTTATAATGAGGCAAAGGAAACAAGTCTATACATCTATAGTAACCGAAGGCTGTACATCATTAGGGCCGCACACAGAGTGCGCCAGCGAGCCGTTCTCAGAAGACGGAGTCCGCCGACCGAGACAGGTGTACGGGGTGCGAGGGAGAGCGCGCTAGTCGTTTCCGCGGCAACTTCTGTAGTGTGATGAGTAAGCTCGGGAAGTCGGGCCGCTCGCTCGCCCGGTACGACCAGCACAGCATCAGGATGTCCTTTACAAATAAGACTTTTTATTAAAAAAGTTAAAAGGAACATTATGACAATGGCAACAATCGATAAATATCTTTACTATCTGAGTGATGAGCATATCTTTTTCACATCACAAGAAGTAATCACTATTAAAACTTCTTCATACGATAATGCAGCGTAATTTCTGTTAAATATTGTAAAGGGCTTATGTATTTACATACAAAGAAACAGCTATTGTGACGCTGTGATAAATGCCTTTAATATCTACAATTTAATAAAATAAAAATATTATATAACTTATGTTCAATGGTGAAAAATATTAAAAATAAATAATACAATGATAGTACACAAACCTTAATATCTCTAGAGGCTTGCATGTTCGCTAGCGACTGCTTGACGCCCTTGCCAACTTGCCAGATGATCGCCTCAGGCGGCTGCCCTTTAAATGGGTACTCCCCGCATAGCAGTTCGTACCATACAGTACTGTAAGTCAAAAGATATAACAACTTATACCAGAGGGAGACTTTGTACAAAAGTCGTTTACTGTGAAGCAGTTGTGTTTGCCTGACTGTGTTTCGATTTGAAGAGTGGGATATGGCAGAGAATTAACAGGGTACAGAGGCGTAAAAACCTTAATCCTCAGGAATGGCAACGCATGGGAGGTATCATGAGCGAAACAGTGTACTCTGTTATGTTCATGGTACTGCTCATATCTATAGGCGACAGTTACCACTTTCCATCAGATGGGCCTTCAGCTTGTTTGCCATTCTAAGTTGCATAAAAAAATACTTATGAACTATACAAGAGAATATAAATAGGAATTAATGTCACGATTATTGTTAACAATAGTTTGCTAGTTTCTTTTAGAAAAGATAAGGATAAGAATGTAAATACTGCTCTTGCAAGATTTAGATTCGCGGATTAAATGGTTTTTACAGTAGCTAAATGGAGAATTTATTAGGAATATTAGTAGGATTAAAACTAGTGTGTTCACAATTTGAATATTGGTGGGTTGTGAGAGTGTGGAGGTAAGTGAGACAAATGTAACGTACCCGAATGCGTAGACGTCGGTGGCTTTGGAGAAGGGCAGATGTAAGGAAGCGTGAGGGCGCAACGCTCGCACCAGCTCGGCCGCCAGGTAGCACAGCCAGCCCGGCGGGATGCCCAGGCTGTCGCCGCGGGCGCTATAATAATACCGCACATCGTCATCAACGCTCATTACGCGAGTTGAGTTCCCCTGTTGTATATCTTATATAATTATTGTGAACAATAAAGTATAAATAAATAAATACAATATTAAATAACTTCAAGATACTAACTTGTTGCCAAAACACAACTTGGTTACACTGAAGAGACCGAAATCCGTGATGACCACCTTTCCATTCTCCAGAAATATATTTTTTGTCTTCAAGTCTTTGTGAATGATGCCTCGCGCGTGTAGATAACCCATACCCTGCAAGATAATATACAGTTCAGCTTCTATTTGAGCGGTTCATCCCACATACAGTCCCAACATCATAGCACAACAGTAATTTCACTGCCGTCCTTCAGGCTTCAAATATTTTCAATACAACAATGCTACATTGACAACAGAAATAAAACAGAAGGAACATATCTAGACAGGAAAAATCTTAAAATAATGATAGGGACAATAACGGGCCATTGTCCATTAAACAAACATTTATGCACAATAGGAGCCACAAACAGCCCTCTATGTCGAGGCTCTTACGACGCCGAAGAAACGGCTGCTCACGTAATCCTGGAATGTGAAGCTGTGGCCCATCAACGTTTATAAACCCTCAGAACGGCGAGGTCGCTCCGTAAGGCCTGTGAAGTTCCCAGGAAGCTTCTGTGCTTCGGGGCTGAGCTATGCTGGCTGTACTATGACTCATATACACAATAGCTCAAATGAGAGGCTTAGCACGGAAAATAAGAGTCCAATTTACATTACAATAGAAAGAACAAGAATTAGAATCAGTACTATCACATGTCACTAACTCCATTTTACAAATAAGAAAGCGAATTAATAACTTTTAGAACAGTATGGATAAGTTATATTATCAACCGACTTCAAAAAGAAAGAGGATCTCAATTCGGTCACATTTTTTTATGTTTATTCCCTCTTAATTCAGTCAGGTCTAATCAGATTTGGAAAATTATTTTTTCATCTGAATAGATATACTTACAGATTGGTCCAATAGAGATTTTATCAAAATCGGTTCAGTAATTCAGTTTTTAAATCGAAACTGGTTTTATCACAATTGAAATCGGTTTGTTTGTAGGATCCAATCTTTAATTATTTATGCTGTGATGTTTATGGCTATCTCCATGTATATAAGTTACGGTTACCACTTTCCATCAGGTGTACCTTCAGCTTGTCTACCATCAGTAGTTATGAAAACAAAAAATAACCTGTGAGATCTGCTGCGCGATGATGACGCTCCTATTCGCGTTGAACTTGTCCTTTCGTATGTGGATGTGCGTGTAGAGGGTCATGCCCTTGCACAGTGACGTGACGATCGCGAGCCGCGGCGGCTTCATACATGCGCCCATGAACAGTACCAAGTTCTCGTGCCGGGTCTTGCGGAATGTTGCCACCTGGTGGTACAATAATTATTATAACTTACATACACTTGACAACAACAGAACTAAATCACTTCGAATAGTTTAACAATAAGCTTAGAATGGGCCACCTATTCCTTTCCCGGGGATGTCGTAAGAGATGATTAGAGGAAGTTAAAGGTCAAGGGATAGTCAGCAGCATCTTTCTTAAAACATCACCAACGACTGCGGTTAACTGCGGTTGCCAACCTGTTTGCCAAACGTGGTAACTACTGGCAAACCCAAAATAAAGGGAGAACTATGTTCAACACAGGACAGCTAACGGTTTTTATGATATGGTACATTAAATAGTCCACTATATCTCCTACTTTAAAAATGTTGCGAGAACACAATAAAATAAATGGAATGGGTACATAGGTTACAACTACTGGCAAAACCCACCTTATGGGAGAGATCTACATTATGTCGCACATGCTTCCTATAAAATCTTGGTCACGGCACCGATTCAGAAATATATACACCTATCTATATACTAAAAAAGCTGACTAGGTATAGCATAAGAAAGCAAAATAATAATATATATATATATATATATATATATATATATATATATATATATTTGTATCTATATTAAGTTTACTGTTGTAATCTTTTGGTGGAAACAATAAAGAATATCTATCTACCTTTATCAAGTTAAAAATTAAAATTATTAACTATATTACAATATACTGACCTCGTGTTTGAAGGTGTCGAGCGGCACGCCGTGGTCGCTGAGCGAGTGCACGTGCAGCAGCTTGACAGCGACGGCGCCGTGCCAGCTGCCGCGGTACACGGTCCCAAAGCGGCCCGTGCCGATCGTCTCGAACAGCTTCAGCTCGTCGTACGGGATGTCCCATTCCTTCATCGACAGCTGCACACACGCACAACGATTATTATATACATATATATTACTTTTTTTCATTTAAAAGTTTCCTCTTGTCGGTGCGACTAATTCAAGCATATATAATATATACTAAAAATGAGTAATATCAAAACCACTCCAATAACTACGAGTATATATTAGGTTTCTCTGGACATTGATGGCGGAAAAAAAGATTATCCATATCAGTCTTGTTCATACTAGTCGAATATTAATATTAATCTCGATCGGGTTCTTCTTTTGGATATTACGTATTGAATAACCTACATGTAATACATCCGTTATTGAGCTAATATATTAATATTGTAACTGCAATATACAGATATAATATCTCAAGAAATATTGTACAGTGTAAAACTATTAAGGTTTATATCTAAAAATATTAATCCTTGCGAGTGTCTGGAGTCTGAACTATGTAGGTCGAAACTTATAATACTAATTAATGTCCGGGGTCTTACATTACATTATTGATTGATTATAAATCTACATCTACACTTATAAAGAGTAAAGATTTGTATTTTTGTGTATATGTATGTTTGTAATTAATAAACTCAAATACTACTTTGCCGATTTCAAAAATTTTTTCACCGTTAGAAAGCTACATTCACCCTGGGTAGCATAAACTATATTTATTGCTAGAAAAGATTAGGGATCCTTACTAAAACTTTAGTAACGTAACTCAAGATGTAAAAAAAAGCTATAAAATATCTTACGGCGCGTGCGCTGCGGAAACTATTGGTGATAGAACAAAAGTATGTTCTACAATATTGAAGAAAATATCAATAACTACAAAAAACTCCGATACTATACATATCGTATAAGATACTACATGTCCAACTATTATCGTTATGTCACAATAATCACTTTTTAAAATGTAAAAATGCCCACCCGTGCATAGCCGGCGTAGTTATTATATATATACAGTTATTGTAAGGGAAGTATTCTTGGTATTTCTTTTGTAGAGACGAATGTATAAAGAATATGTTTTTAAATGTAGTGTGTACCTATTTCTGCGTACCTCTTTCTACTAAGTGAGTGTGTGTGTGTGTGTGTGTGTGCGAGCATGTGTGAGAGCGTGTGTGCGCGTGTATTGACATTTATTAGCCATCCCTAATATATACAAGGGACGGAGGTTTAATATAATCCTCAGGAATGGCAATTCATGAGCGGTGAATCTATTCTGTAACATGCACGTGTCGTTCATTTGTTCTGGTGACGGTTGCCACTTTCCATCAGGAAGGCCCACAGCTGAATCATATCCCATGATGCACAAACAATTATTGCTTATGATACAAGCATGAATTTACTCTTTAAATGTGTATTATGCCATACAATTATTTTATATCAGTCATTATTTTGACTCTGATATAATACAAAAAACGAAGACCAAAGATTGTTCCTTATTGGCGTAAATCCTCATAAAAATTAATAATACATCACCAGAAGCAGTCGACGAAAACAGAATCTGCTAAATGCTGTTCTTTATGGGAATCAGGAGGATTACAGGTAGATTAACATACCAGAGGGAGACTGCACAAGTCGTTTGCTTGGGCAACTCTGTCCCATTCGTGTTTCTACCGTGAAGCAGTTGTGTTTGCATGGCTGTGTTTTGGTTTGTAGGGTGGGATATGGTGTGAATTTACTGGGTACAGAGGAATAACACCTGAGTCCTCAGGAATTTTTTTTTTTATACAACTTAGAATGGCAAACAAGCTGACGGTCCACCTAATGAAAAGTGGTAACCGTCGCCTATAAACATGTGCAGTACCATGCGTTGCCATGAATGACAACGCATGGGGGGGTATCATGGGCAAAACAGTATACTCTGTTATGTCCATAGTACTGCTCATGTCTATAGACGAGGGTTACAACTTTCTATCAGGTGAGCCATCAGCTTGCTAACCATTCTAAGTTGCATTAAAAACAATCGATATTTTATTCATAATAAATAAAACAATAATGTATAAAAATAAACTATAGGTATACATACTTCTTCGAATAATCTACGTCGATGCATAAATTCAGTCATGTTTCTAGCTTATAAAAAATGAATACAATATTGAAAATTTAATTAATAAAAAAAAAACTAATTAGTACTATATTGAGAATATTAATAAAAACGTATAAAAACAAAAACGAAATAAAATTACAATTCTTAAAGTGTTAGCGCTGCGAAAAAAAAAACTAAGTCCTATAACAAATAATAAATAAATATACAAACAAACAATGGGCTTGTAAATGAATTTAAAATAAAAAAAAAAGTTACTAATATATGATAACTTTTGTATAAATAAATCACTTAATAATGAATAACGATCACTTTTATTCGTTTAACACTTGTGTTTGCAAGTGAGACGCGGTTATTACTGGCCAGTACTTAGAACAAGTAATGCGAGATGAATCAGTGTCCCGGCGCGTTATCGCCGGAGTTCATTATCGCATGGCGGTCTAGTCACATCTGCCGCCCTTTGTCTGTGCTTGCATTTAACTAATTAATCGTATAGTGGACATTTTAGGGTCAACATTTATTGTATTTTTCTCAACGTCCTCTAACCAAAGGTTGTCTGGAAGAGATTGCTTAGCGATAAGTCCGTCTTTTTAATCACTTCTCATTAAAATATATGCATAAATAGATTTCAGTTTGTAATTTTTTTTATGCAACTTAAAAATGGCTTGTTTGCCATTAAACTTCATATATTGGGCCGTTTTCAGTGTAAGCGACGCGTTCTGTGCCTCAAAACTCAATTATTAATAAAATAGTTTGTCTATGTCATCGTCTCTGCGTGCGGTCGTTTTTAAACTTATAATCGGCGCAACGGACGCCACACCTAGTCTGCACCTAGATACGATCGACACCACACGTCTATTTATTATCTGTAATTAACGATATTAAAAACGTAAAATTAAAATCCAATTGTAAGAGTCTTCGTTTTCTTGCCATCATTCGTAACCTACCATATTCTATACCATACATTCAGTATGAGCAAAAACACGAAATCATTAAATTCTGGATTGGTGAGGGTGGGTGGAGAATAAAATAATAAATAAACTTGTTTTCTTAGAAATAAAAAGAGAATGTATAAGGGGTAGTTACATTTTGTTTTGAAGTGTGAAGTTATATTTTGTCTCCTAGTTTGCATTTAGGTTATTTTACAGTTGTTAATTTTAAACTTTTAAAATATCTCTATAGTTAATCAAATACATATGTCAATTCAGTGTAACACTGTCACTTAGCAAGCAACTGATGTATTGTTTAAAAGTTAACTCTCTTTTAAGTAAGACTAAGTGATCTATCTGTGCAACCATCTGCTAACATCAACGATCAAATGAATACTTAGATAGTATTAAAAACTTTATATGTTAATGTGTGTGCGTGTGTGTGTATATATGCATGTGTATGTATGTATGTATGTATATGTGAGTATGTGTATGTGCAGCATGTGTATGTGCAGTATGTGTATGTGCAGTATGTGTGTGTGTGTGTGTGTGTGTGTGTGTGTGTGTGTGTGTGTGTTATGTTTATTACCTCTGTCTGAAATTAAAATATTACTAGATATTAAAAAGATATATGTAGTAACTTGCATAATATAAAATTTTTTTGATATTCTGTTAGTATGAATGGTTGCACAGTTTTATTCGTAGTAACTTATGCTTGGATTGTGTTTATTATTGTTATTCATATACTGTTGTCAATCATCCAAATAAAATCAGACATTTTTATTCATAGATTAAGAATGCGTGCACAGCTATTTTTTTTACTTAGTTATTTTTGTTTCTCCTTTCTGTCAATTATTTACTTCTTAATTCATCCACATGATTCTATTTCTGATAAATCCATTACGATTTCTTATGTAAATATTAATAGTTATAACATGTATCGTCTATTCCAGAGGATAGACATTTGTAATTGTATTTCTTTTTTCTTTTTTTTTTTTTTTTTTTTGAGGTTTTTTCCAGTTCTACCCAATAGTGTTGCAGAGCTGGGTCTGTGACTTTGTGAATTTGAATTATTGAGTCAGTGTAGTCCTTATAATATATTTTGTTACCAATAATTTATATTTATATATATAATATTTATCTTATTATAATTTATTTTATTTTAGTATGAATACGTCCTTAAACTTTAGTGATAGTTTTTTCAGTTCTTCCGATGAATTTCATAGTGCAGTGAGTGATGATGATTTTATGTTACTTAAAATAAACTCACGCCTTTGAGTTCTTAAAGACAAGAGAGGTGTATTAGCTCATTATTCAGATTTATATTCCACTTTTTCAGACCAGCAGGTTGCATTCTTGTATGAATCTTGGCTTAAACCGTCTTTTTCATCAACTTTGTGTTCTCTGCCAGGTTATCATCTTTTACGCAATGATCGTGTTGGCGCTGGTGGGGGTGGTGTTGCGATATTTTTGCGTGCTAATATCCCTTACAGAATAATTAGTCAATCTGACTCAGTATATAGTGCTTCAGCGGAGTATCTTTTTCTGGAATTGTGTATCCATCATTCGAAAATCTTACTTGGCGTATATTATAGTCCATCTCTTCGTGTGGACACAGTCTTTTGAGCTTCTGGAATCACTTTGTCCCATATACAATGAAACTATTATTCTTGGTGATTTTAACACCTGCTTACTCAAAAATGACTCACGTTCGATTGTGCTCTATTGCTTCCTCTCTTAATCTTCATCTCCTTCCATCACACACTCGCCTCCAAACAGTGCGCCTACACTTCTGGATGATTGGACTGATAAGGTTACTACATTCGGTCAGTTTTGTGCACCTTTCTCCTATCATGATCAATCTATCTGTCCTACAAAATTCGTATAAGCCGTAAAAAAAAGGGAAATTGATTCGGAGAAATCAATTTTGGCAGGATTGATTGGTTCATACTTTATGATTTAAATACTATTGATGAAAAAGTCACATATCTTAATCAAACGTTAAATAATCTGTTCGATAAACATTCCTTCGAAAAGTTGATTTTTTTACGCAATATAATGGCAAAACGTGATGGTAAAAAGAATCACTCCATCGAAAATTTAAATAAATATGTTGCGAAACCGAAGTAATTGCAGAGATGCTAAGAGACGCTACTTTCATGAATCAGCTGAAAGTCTTAAGCCAGCTCAACTCTGGAAACTCCTAAGAACACAAGGGATTGGTAAATGTTTAAATTCAGTTAATTTAGATGCAACGCATTGAATAGTCATTTTTCGACGCCTCTGGTAATTATGGAGGACCATATTAAAAAGACTACTCTTGGAGAACTTAAACCCAATTGACGCTATTACTACGTGTGATATTAAAAAATCAATCTTGTCAATTACTTCAAAAGCAGTTGGTGATGACAAAATGTGTATTCAGATGCTTAGTCTTCTCTTAGATGAGCTTGCACCGATTCTTTCTCACATCTTAAATTATTCTCTGGAAACAGGTTCGTTTCGCTTGGAAAAAAGAGGCTTCCCAAAACCAACAATACGTACCTTTCCGAGTATCGTCCTATTTCTATCTTACCTGTTCTATCTAAAGTACTTGAAAATCTAGTTTATGATCAATTGTCATCTTATCTTTTTAAAAATAAACTCCTTACTCCTTTTCAGTCTGGGTTTCGTACAGCTCACAGTACTGTCACTGCACTACTAAAAGTTACTGAGGGTCTTGCTAAGGATAGACCAGACTTTACTCGACTTTAGCTTTAATTCAATAGATTTTGATAGGTATCCTTGACTCACTTAATATATCTCCACTGGTAATAGCATGGTTTAATTCTTATCTTGTGGGGCGTATGCAGTGTGTTCGGTCGGATGAAACCAGCTGACTGGGTCTTGTTGCCTCCCCAGGGTGGCGTCCTGTCACCACTTCTATTTTCTATTTTTCCAGAACACTTTTATACGAACTTTCCGCTGTACAGTTTTTTTTGACATTTGTGATATCGGTACTCTATAGACTTATTAATAAAATCAAGATGGGCAAATGCATATGGTCTATTATGAATCCAACAAAATCGTCTCTGCGTGCGGTTCGTTTTTAAATCGTTAAAAATAATCGGTAAACCAGATAAGTAAAAAAGTACATGCGACTGGACGCTACAAAATTTTCTACCTATTAAAACAAAGGTCTGCACCTATGGATTACGATGTATGTTTTCGACACCACTTCAGAGTTATTTTCTAAAATTGACCGTCTATTTATTATCTGTTTGAATTAAATACGATATTGAATAAAAACGCTTCTTTACAATATCTTGCATAAAATTAAATATTCAAGAGAATTGTAAGACACGATTACTTCGAACTCCACCACATCATTCTTGCCAGTTATATCCATTCTATGGAATAACCGAAATACAAGTATAGGCATATTCTATATCACATACATTCAGGGTATTTTATGTAATTTATAATGTGTAGTTTGTATTATTCTTTGTGTATAAAACACGATATATATGACTGCCTATTTTTATTTATAAAATAACACATTAACATGGAAAGGTTTTGCTGGAAGAAATCTCTTATTAGAGATAAGCTCGCCTTTGTACGTTTATAATGAATTGAATTACCAGTATGTTTTGTGTACAATAAAGAATAAAGAATAAAGAATAAAGAAATTGAGTTTTTTTTTTTTTTTATGCAACTTAGAATCGCAAACAAGCTGTTGGAAAGTGGTAATCGTCGCCTATAAACATGAGCAGTACCGTGGATATAACAGAGTATACTGTTTCGCCCACGATACTCCCCATCCGTTGCCATTCCTTAGGACTCAGGTGTTATTCCTCTGTATCCTGTAAATTCACTACCATATCCCACCCTTTAAACCGAAACACAGCTATGCAAACACAGCTGCTTAACGGTAGAAACACGAATGGGGCAGAGGCACACAAGCAAACGACTTTTGTACAAAGTCTGGTAATAAAGTAAATAAATAATAAATTTTAATAAAGTTTAATTAAATTATTTTTGAATGCTTATATACACAATCAGGTACTTGTGAAATTATATAAATATATTGTTTTCAATTAATCTGCTTTCGATATATTCCCGTACAATTTTTTTTTATACAACTTAGGATGGCAAACAAGCTGACGGCCCACCTGATGTAAAGTGGTATTCTTATTATTGAAGTCAGTATAAAAATATAAAATACATTTATAAATTTATATACCACGGATTTACAAAAAAGTATATCCATGTATATTTTAAAATAATAAATTAATTTTCATCATGAAGTACAATCAAGGGGTCACCTCTGTATGGCATGACTCTAATATTACTTCGAAAAAAAAGTGAAAAAAATTCTTATTTAGTTATATGAAAATTGGTATTTTTAGCCTACCATTCGTACCTATGTTGGAAACACGCGCTGAGAAATTTTTAACTTTTATAAAATAACTATGGACTGACACTCACGAGCCCTTGACCTATATCACTCAGTACTCGAATAACATCTTTTTGGATGTGTTAGCTTATGATCAATTTTAACAATAGCCGCCCATTGTTTTCACGATGTGAACTGTTCTTGTAATGTCCTTTTTTTTTATTTTTACAAAGTTTTTAGTTCAGATTTTACAAAACGCCGACGCCTGGTCCATTAATGGCAGACTCCAAGATCAATATCATAGTACAAGTAATAAACGTGTACGTGTGCGTGTGCGTGTGCGTGTGCGTGTGCGTGTGCGTGTGCGTGTGCGTGTGCGTGCGTGCGCGTGTGTACTCACGCTGTTCTGGCGCGGCCAGCGCGCGTCGGCGTGGTTGCCGTGCGCGTCGAGCGAGTCGGCGCGCGGCGGGCCGCTGCTGTCCGTCGAGTTGGACCCGCTCAGCGACACCAGCGACCTCTCTGCGCACCACCACCACAACACAACACAACACAATATTATTACATTCACGGTACAACGATCGATATATAAAATAACCTAAAATATAACATCATCATCATCATCTCCCACCCTTGGCTCAATTATTTCGATTCGGCGTAATATGTTTTTATACATACATTATTTATAAACAAAGACATATGAAAACTAAAGAGCAACACTGATAATTTAAGGTTGTGTTTCACGAAAAAACTGATTTCAATCGCGGCATAACTAGTTCTTTTAATACTAAAACTAAAATACTAAACCGATTTTGATAAAAATTTTATAAAACCAATCTGTAAGTATTACTGCAAGTATACTGTGTATGTTTGTAACTCACAGTTATGATATAAAAAAAAAACAAAAAACAAAAAAGTACCTTCTTTTTTTGAAAATAACCAAAGACATATCATCATCTTATTTATGACCAAATATATAAACTAATATATTATAAACAAACACTAACTAAAAAGCGACGCTGAAAATAAAAAAAAATATTACGTTATATAATTTTTAAATTAAAAAGACACAAATTGGCATTGTAAAAGAGTAAAATCATTTGTCTAGATAAATAAAAGTATGTATAGTATTTCATGTGTGAAATATAAGCTCGAAAAGGATTACATAGTAAAAAAAAAAATGCAATTTATTGGCTTTTTTTTTTTAATTTATGTAATAAACATTTACATGTTACTGTAACGAAATACATTCTCACAAGAAATTATTCTGTTCATACTCCAACCAAATCAGCTTTAAGCTTATACGGTGTGGGAATATCCTATTTCTGTCTCGCTCTAATATATAATACCTTATTGGTTTTCTCTCTTTTACAATGCCAATCTGTATAAACTTTATAATGTACGAGTAAGGTTGATACTGACCGCTCTTGACGCTGGCGGTGAGGTCGTCACCACCGTCCGTTCGTGGCGGCGACGCGGCCGACGTGTGGTTCGGACTCGACGCAGCCGGCTTCACGTCTGCGCGCGAATAGTATTTTTTTTTTTTATTGACAATGTAGACAGTGAGAAGTTCCATTATGAAGAACAGAGTTCGCTAAGCAGGCTTCCCTATCTCTTGCATTGAAACTACTTAATGATATTTTGAGCCAGTATCCGCAATTAAATGTATTTGCCTCCAACTTGCTGGAGTTTCGTCGAGTGACCACAGAGTATTTGTGTTCAGACGTTTTTTGTTTCAGTTAAATCTTTTTATATTATTTTTGTGTAATAAATAAATAAATAACAGATGAAAATTAAAACAGGTCAATTGGCCCATCCTGACGAATTGTTTAATATTTAAACATTTACTACGTACCGTAGTTTGGGGGGGGGGGGGACAATGATGAGCTATGCCCTATCTTAAAAGTCCTAATGCTCTACCTTAAAATAAAAGGCCTCAAGAAAATTAAACAGATCGTTTTTTCGGTAAAATAGGGGACTTAATTTTATTTTATCACAAAGGTGTAAAAAAACACAGTCCAGTACCGATGTTCTATGGGCGCTTGTAACAACAGAGGTGTCATACTGGTGTTGCCAACGCTGTATTTGTTTAATTTTTATTTTCAACTTTAATAATATATATATATATATATATATATATATATATATATATATATATATATATATATATATATATATATATATATATATATATATATATATATATATATATATATTCTACTTATTAAGTAATAATTGTACATTACAGCACTAACATATATTATAAAAAAAATTTACCTGTTTTTGCCAAAGCAACTATATAGAAATGCTCGATTTATACAATCTAAGACAACGAAAGTTTGTCATACCTGGAAAATGGAACTGCTGCTTGGCCGTGGGCGGATGCGGCGGGTGGGGCGTGTGTGCGGGGTGGGTAGAATGGGGGTGGTGTGCAGCGGGCGGGTGCGGGTGGGGGTGTGGGTGCGGGTGGGTGTGCGCCGCGTGGTGCGGCGTGGTGGGCAGCGCCAGCGCCGGAGACGACGGCGCCGAGCTGTTACACGACGACGTATTCGACGACGAGTCCGGCCCGCCCTGCTGTGTGACATAAACATCGAGTTAATAAAAAACACCATGTTAATAAACGCTAAGACACTTTCGTTTCGTGGCCATAATTCTAAAAAGTCAAAACCACTATTGCTATTAGGATGAACGTTAAATAAATACCAACATTTCATGTGACAAAATAATAATAAAGAGCATATTATCCGACTCAAAGGACCACAAAGAATGTATAGTACGTTGTAACAAACACATCCTGATGATTTATAATTAAATATATAATTCTCCATCTATTTAGGAGGTACAATATTAAACAACAATAGTCTAGATTTTAAATACACTTTAGAAACAATGTGTGCAGTGCACTGTGTAGCGTGTAGTGTGCGGTGTGTAGCGTGTAGTGTGCAGTGTACCGTGTGCCATGTACTGTTTTCTTTTTTTTTTACAACACAGGGGGCAAACGAGCATGCGGCTCACCTGATGGTAAGTGACTACCGTCGCCCATGGTCACCCACAACACCTACGGCATTGCAGGTGTGCTGCCGGCCTTTTAAAAAGGAATATGCTCTTTTCTTGAAGGTTATGTTGTCGTGTAGTGTGTAGTGTATAGTGAGCGGGTGCGGTACTCACCGTGTAGTGCGGCTGCGCAGGCGCATGCTGGTGCGCGGCGGGGTGGTGGCGGCGGCGCGGCCGGCTGGTGAGCGACGCCAGGAAGCCCCGCGCCGACACCGGCGACGCACACCCTCCCCCCGCACCGTACAACGCGCTCGTCACCGGCACTGGCGACAAAAAACAGATTTAAACACTCATCCGCACTGCCCATGCTGCACATGGTCAGTGCCGATGCGAGACGATCAGCCTCTATACGGATAAGTGTTCGTTATAAAAAATATATTGTTTCCTACACTTTTTATGCTATCCGTACTTTGTCGGTGACGTTAGAGACCGTCAATATTGTGTTGAAGATCTTCACGTTCCACCGAGAATTTCAAAGAGCACATTTTTTTCAAAAGTTTAAAAATGGAAAGAAACTGGCTTGCGATCGAAATGACGCGAATGAAAATTAGATAGGTAGATAGAGTTACAACTATTCTTTATCTATTACTCAATTCATTCGGTAACGGATTTTATCGTTGACAACTCGCTGTTGTCTATCTGACCTTCAGATTCTGAAGACAGTTGCTGACGATCAAAATCGCTTCCGTGTCCGTTCCGCTTCAACACAACTTTGTGTTCTTTAATAATATGTAATCTTTAATACGGATACGGTATCGTTTGCTAAGGATGGCAGGCACCTATTTTTGCAAGATTTTATCAGAAATATGGGGTCTTAGTAAATATTCCACCCGCTTAATATTTTGAATTCTCAACTTTATGCACGCTACATTAAAATTTGTATTTAATTAGTACATTACTGCAGCGACCGGCAAGAGAGGCATTGATGGACGAACGTGTGAATGTGGGCCGAGGGGAACCGAGGCACACATACGTGAGTCCATCAATGCCTAGTTGCGGCCAAGGCTTGTATAGTACTTTTCTCAAATAATGCGCGGAAATTATTCAAATTCACGTTATGTTTCATTAAAATTGTGCATTTTAGCATTGAATAGAAGACCCAAAGCGTTGTAGGCTTCACTTTCTTGGCGAGTTCGCCGAAATAAGCCAGAAAAACATTTTCGAATAAGGATTTCGATTTTCTTTCATTCTTCCATTAAACAAAATTTTCATAGATTTTCAAATATTTTTCTTTAGATTTTGGCGGCAACAAGTTTTCTACTACGGCTCTTGCTGCCTCTTGAATTTCAGGTGGCGTTAAAATAATTTCATTACACTCATTGTCTTCACTTGAACTCATGTTGTCAAATACAAAAGTATTTAAAACCAATGACGAAGTTGACGAACAACTAATAACAATAGTTTTTTACGCGCCAAAATATTATGTTTTTTTCACTAAACAGCTTTCTATGTGGAAGCCAGTTCGAAATTTTAATTAAACCTTTGATAAGTTACCTTTTTGATCGCCATATTGCGGAGTAGAAGATCGTTCTATTTTTAAATTACACGACAAATATGATTTTACATAGTAATTTATGTGGCCGCTAAACACGACAGATATGGAATTTCATACAACTATTGCCGGCCGCTGCTCGACCAGTATCGCAAGTTCGATTTATCTCGAAGAAGGTTGTCAAAATAATACTCAAATTTCCAAGCATGTTTAAGAAAAAAAAATTGTTTGACGAAGATGTACTGTCAGTAATAACACTTTTAAAAAAATACTATCTCACATTTAAACACACACTTACCTATGTATCACAACCATGCACGGAAGTCACACACAAACAGAAATCTGACAAATTCATCCCTAATACATACATAGATAAAAAATTCCTATAACCTATTGTTTCATAATAACACAAAAACATCATCATGCAAAAAGTACATTCCGATGGGTATAAAGGAATACATTCATAGTTAAGCATAAATTATATCCTATTACTCCATTTTATTTGTCTAATCATAATTATAAATTTATTTCCCAAAGTAGAAGAAGAAAGAAGAATTACGACAGAGACACGTCGACTAATTTAAATAAATCAAAGAAGGATAGGCTGTATTAAGAATGACAATATATCTAAAAGAAGAGCGAGTCCAGATATGAATGGAATTCAGTGGAAGAGGAAGACATCGATCCGAACCTAAATATTGGGACAAAGGTAAAGCGACGATACATCAAGCGAGAAAAAATAAAAAAATATCGATAAAGGCCACAACCCACAATAGAAAAATAAATAACAACTATGTTAAAAAAACATTTTTTAAACATGCTTTTGTAATGTCATTCGCCATCTTGTGGCTCGGCCATTTTGTAGTGATATCGCTAATTGCATCGAACTTTTCATTTGATATTCACATTAAAGATTAACAAAAATACCTCATCCGCCATTTTGTAATGGCGGCCATTTTAAAAATATTCCAATATTGAGAATTACATATTTCATTGTCACTAGAATCAAAGTTAAATGCATAATTTCAGCTCAATCAGATATCAAGAAATGGTTTTAATTGATCTTGCAAGATTTGATAAAAACCAACAAACAAACTAACTAATAAATGACAACATACATTACAAGTTAAATAAAAGCTTGTAAAAAGTAGCCATTAATATAAGAATAGATTGATAAACATAAAGGAAACTAAATATATCTCTTTATATCGGAATATTCAGCGTTCTCTGCTTACAAAAAGATAGACACGACTATTATGTATATAAAAATGAAATTAGGAGAATCAAGTGGCAAGTCACCCCAATAACGGGCAAGTTTAAAGACATAAATATACAATTAACACACACAATTATCGTAATACATAGTACATTCCAGTCGGATGCAACTGTCGAACCTCTCACCTTGGTAGTGCCTTTCTGGAGTCCCAGGTATAGAGAAGCGCGCTGCAATACGTACGCACTCGTTTAGCACTCAACACGCTATACCACAAATATTCCACACACACATACATTTATATTTATATAGAAATATTTCATAAAGTATTTGTCTCACACTAACGAAGCATTCACAAGTTCGACAAGTTTATTTAAATTATAACTCGTTAACTTCATGTACGGCACTGCGGGTGACAGACATAGGGAAGCCATGATAATATAACGGATAGTAAACTTATTATAGATAAATACAAATAATTTAAATTTACTGGGTACAGAGGAATAACACCTGAGTCCTCAGCAATGGCAACGCATAGGGGGTATCATGGGCGAAATAGTATCTATACTCTGTTATGTCCATGGTACTGATAATGTCTATAGGCTACGGTAACAACTTTCCAATAGGTGGACCGTCAGCTTGTTTGTCATTCTAAGTTCTATAAAAAAAAAAAAAAAAAAATATAAAAAATGTTCACACTGAGAAAACAACGGGCGGCCTTTAGGTTTACTCTTGAATCCAATATCAGTATTAATCCAATCTGTTGCCAATAATAATTTTATACTGCACTAATAAAACAACAATTATGTTTTAGGTGAGAGTTGAAATCGGTTTGCATTGACAATTTATACTAATGTCCGTCTATCAGAACAATATGGAACCATTATGTCTAGTATTGCAATTTAAGAATTAAAAACGTCTCAATTTCAATATCGATCTATTGGAATTTATTTCAAGAGTAACCTCACTTATCGCTAAAAACGATCTCTTCCAGACTACATTTGGATAGACACTTTCCCTCCCTTCTCGTCTACTTTAAAGCCATTTTACTTTGCCGCTTACATATATTACTAGATCACAGTACTAGATCTATTTTTTTTATTTATTTATTATTATATTTTGTGGCTCCAAAATGAACTTTTGACACTCTTTATAATGAATGATCATTGCCTCTCTGGACCTTTGTCAAGCGCCTCTCTACATTGGACCTTGTCCATCAACTTACTACGAAGTGCCGTACAAAGTTAACAGGCTAAAGCAAGACGATTCCCCTACTTTTTGACAAGTTTACCCAGTGTTCTGACACAAATACAACACTACCATGTACACTGATAAAATTATCACTTGTATGGGGGATTATTTAATAACAAAATTCAATAAATATATTGAAACCTAATTCAACCTAATAAATAACCAATAACACGATGGATTAACATAATTGTATTGAGAGCTCACTCACACTCTCTTAAAATAATACAACAGCTTTTATTGTGTATGTGTTAGTGTAAGCATAGATAAAAAAAAAAAATAACAAGAGTACTAACCGTCTTTGTGAAATTTTTCTTTAAAGGCAATCACAAACTCAGGTGGGAGACCACACGACGGAGGAACTTTACTTTCGCAGTCTCTGAAAAATAAAAAATATTATAATAATAAAAAAAGTATACAAATGAGATTGAGTTTGCAATATATATCTTCATGATTATAGTTTACAAATTCTTAACAAGTATTTACTGAAATGAACTAATAGCTTGAAAGGAATTACCATACCATTTTCAGATATTCCCGGTTAATCACAACATTACTTCCAAAAAAAAAAAAAAATAAATAATAGTGGCCACTACTTAACAGATTAAAATATTAGCATCCAACAGCTAGATCCGATGGAATTCTAGCATCAAACTCTCTGCTATCTGAGCCTAGTATGTTTGCAGAAAGATGATTTTCAATTTATTATAGATTTTTTTAAATGCAAAGGATTATGTGTTTTAAAACATTTCCAAATAATACTGATTATCGCTTGCGAACGTACCTGTGGCACTTGAACTTGCACTCCTTGCACTTGAGGCCGGAGCCGAAGAGCATCTGCTTGTCGCAGTAGTCGCAGGTGGCGATGAGCATGGTCTTGGTGAAGCGGTGCGCGATGTCGTGCGCCATGCACCGGCTGACCGTGGGCGTGCGCGGCGTGCGCGGCGTGCGCGGCGGCGGCGGCGGCGGCGGCGACCGCGGGCAGCCCGCCACGCCCTAGCGTAACAAACGAATCCGTTAGAATGGCACATATAGGAAACTGCCACATACTTTTTTTGGCGGCTCATTGGAGGCGGAAGTAAAAAGCATTAAATTAAACTAAATCGATTTCAGAATCGATAGTACTCAATAAGGTTTTAACACTTAGTTGTGTCTATTTTTGTGAATTCAAAACAGATCATCAATCATCAATGATTCATCTTATTGATATGTAATAGTCGTATGAATATTATGAAATAGCAATGTAGTGATAACATAACATGAAGATCTGACAACGTATGGAGAAAAGTGAATGTCTACTAGATGGAAGGACAATCTTAAATACAAGTGTGTTGTATAGAATCATGGCTGCAAGCAGATGCACTCCTTGTCCAGTTTACAGGCGAAGCCTATGACTGAAATTATATAATATTATACTTTAATTATGTAGAACTCTATATAACTTAACTGCAGACACTTCTAAGAGTAGATAGTATAAATGTTTGTATGTGTGTGTGGGTGTGTGTGTGTACTGGTGTATGTGTGTGTGCGTGCCTGTGTACTGGTGTATGTGTGAGTACTACATGAATACACTCACGGAGACATTGTTGTAGTGGTTACGCGTCGCCAACCCGTCGGGTTCCGGCGACGGCGGCGGCGACTCCGCCCCACACACCGCTGATGACTGGCTATTGTCGCTGTATGACAATTGGCATTCATTAATATATGCAAATTACTACATAAGAAAGAAAAAGACAATGATTGTTACAGATAGATTACTAAGAACGCCAAACTCTCTGGGGGTATTCTGGTACAGTCTAAATCAGTTATATTAACCCTTTAACTGGTAGAAGCAATTTTGTGTCTCGGAAAATTAAAAACTCGTTTTTTGGGTTTATTGTGGGTACTTTAATAACTTTTATTAAAGAATAAAAAAATTCATATTTAGTGGAAGAAAAAAACATGATGGCAATATCCTTGCCAACACCAGCATGGTATTGGTGCTACAAAGTGAAAAAATCATAAAAATGTTGGTGGCACACATATTGCCACCACCAGTAAAAGGGTTAACCAAACCTTCAGACAGAGTAACCCAGTCATTAGACAATACCGAAATGAACATACAAACTATGGTAAGTACAAATAACATTTTTTTAAAAAAAAAAAAAAAAAACACCGGTTACGGTACGGCCTGTCAGGCGGGTTGGCAACCGTAGTTAGGTTTTAATAATATAACACCCACGGGATAGAAAGGGGTCCTTCCCATGGCGGAACCACACTGCGAGGCTATTATTAGCCCTTCAGAATAGTTCCTAAGTACACTGTGTTGCGAAAAACAAGACGTTGTACAAAACAAAACAAAAAAAAAACAAGACAACTTATAATAGAACTAAATTAAAGCAACATGCATACCACTACGTTATGGAAATAGATAGATAGATACTTTTATTTGCCAGAGCATTGTTTTTACAGATCCTGATTTACTGTGAAGTACAAATGTTCGCCTTATAGATTAAAGCTAGCAAATTCATTGTTAAGTAGAGGTACAAGTTATTATACTTAGAGATAGACAAAATATCATCATTGTGTAATCGATGATGAAGACAATTGCGATGACGATACCTGAGGTCAGCGGCGTCGGTCCGCACTGAGAGCTGCGACTCGTGCGACCGTGACTTGGTGAGCGCGGCTGGTGGTGGAAGGGTCGAATTCTGTTTCCGTTTGCCCACCGGCGTCGTGGGCGACTTGCCACCTGTACCAGTACAAGATACTATTGATTATGGGTGACACGGTATTTCTATGAGCTTCATGGCGCCGTATAATTACCTTAGGTACCTTTCACAGCCTCCACTGTCAAGCTGTGTAACCATGTTTTGATTTAAAGAGCGAATATATTAGGGAAGAAATAGCAACATATCATAAGCTATCATCATCATATCAGCTGTTGACTACCCACAGCTGAACACACACCTCTCCTTTAAGGGGAGGGTTTCGTCAGTAGTTGTCACACTTGGCAGGCAGGTTGGAAAACGTAGTTCGGCTTTTGATGATGTTTTAAGAGAAAGCTGCTACCTATCCCTCGACCATTAAGTTTACTTAGTCACGTCTTAAGACATCCAAAAGGAAGGGGCATAAGACGACACCAGAGATATTATAGACGTGTCTATAGTGGGAGCTGCGCGCGAGCAATTCGCCGCTCGAGGAAGGGCGGGAGCGGTGCGGCTCGTGGGCGTACTCACCCTTCCTGGGCTGCGGCGTGTAGTGGGGCGGGTGGGGCGGCGCGGGCGTGGGCCGCGGCCGCGGCGGGGCGAGCCGCGCGCGCCGCTCGCCGTGGGGCGGTGCGGCTCGTGGGCGTACTCACCCTTCCTGGGCTGCGGCGTGTAGTGGGGCGGGTGGGGCGGCGCGGGCGTGGGCCGCGGCCGCGGGCGGGGCGAGCCGCGCGCGTGCCGCTCGCCGTGGGAGCGGTGCGGCTCGTGGGCGTACTCACCCTTCCTGGGCTGCGGCGTGTAGTGGGGCGGGTGGGGCGGCGCGGGCGGCGCGGCCGCGGGCGGGGCCGCGCGCGGCCGCTCGCCGTGGGAGCGGTGCGGCGCGTGGGCGTACTCACCCATCCGGGTCGGCGGCGAGTCGTGGGGCGGGTGGGGCGGCGCGGGCGTGGGCCGCGGCCGCGGGCGGGGCGAGCCGCGCGCGTGCCGCTCGCCGTGGGAGCGGTCCCACGAGTCCCAGAACAGCTCCAGCTCGGTGCCACCCTCGCCGCGCATCAGCGCCTCTGTGCACAGTCACGTACCTCTGGTTACTTCACTATATATCACACTTTTCACTCGCAACACAATCGTGTTCAATAAAATTTTACCTATTGATGTAAGTGCGCATCAAGGCGTATGTAAGCCATGGTGAAATGTAACACGTGTTGCTTGTGCATAATACGGCGCTCTACTAGCATCATGTGATGCTTATATCGAAAATCTTGCCAATCCATTCTCGCAGTGCTAGCTACACAACTCGTGTTACATTACATAATCTATAACATTACAAGTTACCTTGTCAGGTCGACCTCCACGTGGTTCCCCTGGAACTCATCCTGCTGAATTCCATCCAGATGGCCATTTCATTCCATTTAATTCCATCACGATGGGTCAACTGACCTGCCTTTTCATCCTCACCTATCATCCTTCACTGGTGCCCCGCCAACGTATACCGTCAGCGCAGGCGGGATTACCATTCTGTTGTCATCCATCAAAAAAATATGAACTCGAGTTTGTTCGCGTACCGGTGTAGGCGGCGAGGCGGTTCATGGCGCAGCACAGGCGGCGCTGCTCCTCGTCGCGCACGCCGGCCAGCAGCGCGCGCAGCTCGTGGTCCGAGCGCTCGCGCAGCGCCTCCAGCGACGGCACCCGCGAGCACACCGCCTGGTGGCAGCGCCAGCCACGTATCACTATGTGCCACTCATACTAATTCTCTACGTAACGGATTCACCCTCAATATAGACCGACACCACATTTTACGTTACACCCCTTTCCTAACACAGCTGTGAAAACTACATTCAATTTAGCGTAGTAGTTTTTGACTGATGCCGGAACAAACAAACTTACAGATAGACAGTCAAAAAGTTCAAAATTGATTGTTTAGACATCTGTCGCTCTTACTCTTCTTCTCTTATCATAAATATCTCTCATCATCATCACATATCATATAATGCTGTACATAAGCTTCCACCTTGGGAGATTTTGCCATTTGGCATGCTTGCCAAGCAGGTTGGCAACCGCAGTTAGACTTTGAAAACGTTTTAAGGGGGACGCTGCTGCCCATCCCTCCACCTTATGGTGGAAAGATAGGCATCTAAAGGATCTTAAGCTCCCTTAGTCACCTCTTACGACACCCACGAGAAAGGAAGCGGTGGCCTATTCTATGCTGGGACCACACGGCAATACTTAGTCACAATTTTATTATAACAGTAAGATTTATTTACTGTTTATTTAAAAAAAGACACATACTAATGCAATATATTTAGGTACAAAGCTTTGCTCATAAAAATAGGATCAACTATTGAACGCTTTTTCATTAGATTACAATGCTTTATCCAAATTATTCTATATCTTCAATGAAAACAATTATAATTACATTAATGGCGTCCGGACCGAGTCCCACGACCCTGAGCCACTGCGCGAGACAAGGCACGCCCCGCACCTCATCGTTCAGCTCTTCACCGAACCGCGCCTTGATGAACAGCTGGCGAGAGAAGTGCTTCACCAGCTTGCCCTGGAAACGACATTATTTATGCATCATAGAATGACAAAAAAAATCTTCTCAAAGGTCGATCTTGAGAGATCCTTCAATAAGTCCGCCATTGTATTTTAAATTGTTTTCACGTATTCAATTGAAAATACGTACAATAAAGTTTTGCAACAAAAACAACGAAGAAGCCCACCTGATGGGAAATGGTGCTTGTTACCTATAAACAACTCGCCACTCAAGAACCTTTCATCCCCTTCTTACTTGATCTATACTTAATGTATTAAAACAATTAGTAATGTTAATAGTTATTATAAATAAATATATATCAAATATAATTTATTATCAATTAAAATTCTTCATTAGACTTCATGTGTAATACACATAAATACATAGGTACATGTAAATACGTATTACTTAGATCTGGGTCTCTAGACAAGTGGCAAACGAAATTCGTCGATGGAATCGACATCGCTAGCGAGTCCGTGAGATAGAATGAGATAGGTGACTCATTCCAACTCACGGACTCGCTAGTGATGTCGATTCCATCGACGAATTCGCTTGCCACTTGTCTAGAGGCCCTGCTTAGTGTCAACAATGCTGTGGAACACAATTATTTACATCCTCTTACTTTACGCTTTAACTCAACGAATCGACATAAAATTGGCATTCATGTACTATCATAGTATCATATAGTGGATTGTAACCGCTTGTCAAGTGTTGTATCACAGATTGCATTGATTGCTTCTATCTTATCTTACCAATAGAAATAGGTATCTGTTATATATAAATGTGATATGAAAACCCTAATATTATTGATTTTATCGCTTCCGGTGATGTACCGGAAAGATGATACAGTAAACTGACTACAAATCATCAGTCTTTCTATCGCTCTAATCTTTTTTTTATACCACTCAGGTGGCAAACATTCATACAGCCCACCTGATGGTCAGACGTTACCGTAGCCTACGAACGCCTGTAATACCAGGGGCATTACGAGCGCGTTGCCAACCCTGAATAAACCTCTTTACCCTTTTGAAGAACCCCACATTGTAATCCCTTGGAAAAACCCATCCTGTACTTAATCTCTTTACAGAATGGGTTTTTCCAAGGGTATGTATGTACACAGCAATAAAATTCTATTCTATTCTGTTCTCCAATCTTCTACTTAAAATTCATGTAATTCCCTTTTAACCATTACTAGTGATTGCCCAGTAATCAAAATTAGACTATAACATATATTGTAAATAAATAAATCTATTATGGTCATGTTTGACATTCAGTAAGACCATAGACAAATAATATTAAGGACAAACAATATTCAACTATTCTCAATTTGACCATAAACTTAACAATAAACAAAAGAACATATATGCGTGTATATCAAATACATGGAATAATACAGTCATAGAATAAGCCACCCCTTCCTTTCCCGTGGGTGTCTTAAGAGACGACTAAGGAAGGACGAGGGATGGATATTTTTTTTTTTTTATCTTTATTTGGTCTCCTAGCAACTGTTACACTGATAAGATTTAATATTAAAATTACTGTCCATTTATACTTAGTGTACAATCATTTTAAAGGAAACACAGCATGCTAATTAACAAATAAACAATAATATGGCATAACAAACTCTTGAGGTATTTGACATAGGTACAAAATTTAAAAACATCTCTAGCGCTCAACAGTGGACAGTTAAAAGCTGATATGATGATGACAGCCTAAACAAACGTGCAAATTTAGCTTAGGAATTCCTTATTAACGAAAATAATAGCTTTGAATTCATTTCCTGAGATTTCATACAGATTTAACTCCCATTCGAAGGGGGGAAATGGATTCTTAGTAATGGAGACTAAGAATCCCATTGCTAGCTTAATACCCAACCAGGTAGACTTCCTCGTGGTTTCCCCTGGAAACTATCATAGTTAATTCCTGATGAATTCATCATGATGAACTGGCCTGTTTTCAGTCTCATCGATCACCCTTCACTGGTGCTCCACCAGCGTATTCCGTTAGCGCAAGCGGAGTTGCCATTTCATTTTCACCCATTAAAAAAAACTCTCAATCGAATGGGAGCTAATGAATTTAAACGGACGAGGCTGCAATAAGTCTGCGAAATTTATGGTCCCCAAGATACAGGTCTGGCCTAGTTTGGGGACTGATGGTAATGCAGACTTTTTCTCGTTCAATATAAATTTTAAATTGCACTTTATGCAACTGTATCTCACAAAAAAAAAAATATTTTTTAAATATTTACAAAATTCACATCTCCCCTCTTAAGGAGAGGAGATGGCAACTAACCCCCGGCAGAAGCACAGTCGGCCAGGGTTCAGGGCCCCAGTGAGAGAAACCGGCGTACAAAGCGGGCAGAATCTAAAAGCAATGCTTTCTGCATCTTTCCCGGGAGTGAGCCGCCTCGGAATCCCAACCGTCTGAGATGTTGTTCCAGACTGGTTGGGATAAGACCGTTCACCGACAAAACGATTTGAATGAGTTCGGTGGACGTCACCCACCACATTTCGGTCACCTCGTGAGCCAGGTCGAGATATTTTCTCTTTTTCTCGGTTTCGGCTTTCACGAGGTTCTCGTCAAAAAAATTATTATTAAATAACAATCTGATTTGACTCGCAGAAAGTGTTGGCAAGCAATTGTTTGTATTGGAGATGCTAATCCTTATTTTTAGCATGTATATAAGTATGTACGCTGTCAGATCGACCTCCACGCGATTCGCCGTGGAAAACATCTTTATTGATTCTTTATGAATTCGTCATTATGGGCCAACTGACCTGTTTCATTCTTATCTATCTCATCCCTCACTGGAACCCCGCCTGTGTATGTATACTGATAGCGCAGGCGGGGTTACCATACTATTATCACCTTTTATATATATATATATATATATATATATATATATATATATATATATATATATATATATATATATATGCGTCATTGTACTATAAATAGAATATATGTGATTAAACAATGTGTACAATAATAGATACGCTATTATAGTAAATTGATTCTTCTGTTATGATAGTTATAATTAACTTGTTAGTAAACAGATTCATGTATAGGTACCGACTTCGCTACACACGGAGGGAGGGGGGGGGGGGGGCTCTGGGGGGATTGTTGGTGATGCAGACTACCAGTCCCATTGCTAGCTACACACCCTGTCAGGTCGTCCTCAAGTAGTCCCCCTGGAAACCATCGTGCTGAATTCCAAGTGTATTCATCACGATCGGCTAACTGACCTGCTTTTTCATCTTCCCAGGCAGTGCCCCGCCAGCGCACCGCCCGATAGCGCAGGCGGAGTAACCATTCCATTATCATTCACTAAAAAAACATTACTATCCGTGATTTTTTTTTGTGGGTAATAATGGAATAGTAACCCGCCTGCGCTACCGGTATACCCTGACGGGGCAGCGAGATGATAGGTGAGGATATAAAAGCAGGTCAGTTAGCTCATCCTGATGAATTCACCTGGAATTAATCATGATGGTTTCCAGTGGGGACCGCGAGGAGGTCGACCTGACAGGGTCTATAGCTAGCTATGGAGAAGCTGGACCCCATTACTAACAATCCCTTTCCCCCTACACACATGTGATTAGAGGAGTTTGTTTAGCACATCATGTCTTTTTAGGATTCCGTACCAGAAAGGTACGAAGGAACCTCTATGGTATGACTGTCAGTCCATCCGTCCGTCTGTTACAGGGTTATATCTCAGCAACTACTAATGCAATAAATTTGAAATTTAGAATAGTTTTACATATCATCGGCCCGCACATGTTGCAATGAGAATAATCGAAAAAATATTTTTATTTTCTTTGTTAGAGTCCAAAACGGGTAGTCAAGATTTTTAAAATATACATTTGTGTACGGAACAATCGGCGTGTGAGTGAAATAGCATTTTTAATTAATGACAATAGATCCTTCAGTCACTTGAATTTCGTTGCTCAAGTCAGAGGGCCTACCACGAAATATTTCCCGAAATTACGAAGCCAAACGAAACACAAGTTTGATGTTAAAATTACATAATACATGACGTTTGGAAATATGAAAAATGTTAAAATATTGTTCCTTCGGACTTTTATGATAGGATGTATGACGAACGAAATGTTAAACTCCATTTATTGAAACGATTTTGGTATAAACAAAAACACGAAATTGAGTCCGCAGTTTTTTAATCACAAATATTGATATTTTAATCATCTGTTATATAGAACAAAAGTCTAAATTTAGTATTCTGAAGTTTATTTCGTCAACGTATGAATTTCAACAGATCAATGTTAAGTGGCCATTGATTAATGAGCAGGGTAATCATTAGCTTTTATACTTGTTTGGGGTATTTATTTGTGTAATTTTAGGAGGGATTTTTTTCCACTAAGCGTTAAATACCGTCCCAGTAATTTATTTCGCGTCAAATATCCGCTGAGTTAACTACTTATAAGGTATCCATTTGTTTAATAATCATAATACCCGTTTTTTTTTTTTTGATGGGTGAAAATGGAATGGTAACCCCGCTTGTGCTAACGGGATACGCTAACGGAGCACCAGTGAAGGGTGATAAGTGAGAATGGAAACAGGCCAGTTAGCCCATCATGATGAATTCATCAGGAATTAACCATGACAGTTTCCAGGGGAAACCGCGAGGAGGTCGACCTGGTTGGGTATATTGCTAGCAATGGGATTCTCAGTCTACATCACTAACAATCCCTTTCCTCCTTTATCATATCAGTTGTTAAACATAGGCATTCCCCTAATTGGGGACGTTTTGTTAGTAACTGTAATGTTTGACAGGCGAATTGGCAACCGCAGTTAGGGTTTGGTGATGTTTGAAGAGAGACATCGCTGCCCATTCCCCGACCAATAAGTTCCTTTAGTCGCTTCTTACGACACCCACGAAAGGAAAATTGATTGGATGGCTTATTCTATACCGGAAACACACGACCCATCACCATCACCATCACCATCGTCCCCCCCCCCTCCCTCACCGTAAATATGCGGAATTAAAAAAAATGTTAAAA